CATTTTAGAATGAGACACATCTGGTCTCCTCTCGGTTCCCCTTGGGAAGCCTGTTCTGCTTTGTGGCATACTGCTGTTCTCTCCTGATGGTGTTCAGCTTCTTTTTTTAGTATTTGTATGGTACTTTTACTATACAAAGTGAAACAAAGCTTTCAGAGCTAAGCTGTATCAGATTTTTTATATATTTGTGTGTGTGAGAATGATCATGTGCCAGTGACAGCTAGGTTGGGATTAACCTCAAGAAGGCAGTTGAAAATTTTAGTATGTTGAGAGCAAAAATACTGGCTGCTTATGCAAGCTAGTATTTCTGATCTAGCCTGCCCTTATGCTGTCAACAATGGTGGGAAATTTCTTTTAGAATTTTTTGAATGTGCCAGTAGAAGAATGGGTACAGTAGAGTCAATTATTTGTTTTTCATCTCAATTTGACAGGGTCTTTCACAAAATGGGAACTATATAGTCATGGGTGATATGGGAGGCATTACTGTGGATCAGAAACCTGTTTTCTGTCTCAGAAGAAGAAAGGGATAAAAAGTTTGGGTTATCTTAATGGTTTGGAAAAGGGGAGGAGGAGGGGAGGGAGGAGGCCAGCACAAAATTATTTAGAGTTATAAAGACAAGAAATAAGCAGCGAGGAGCTTAATTAAGTTAGAGGAACTGGCAATGTGGTGAAGATACTAATCAGTGTTAATAAACTGAAGTAACACACATTGTACAGAGTAGCTTGAACTGCTTGTTTGGGTTATGTGGCTTTTTTAATTAATCCGTAAAGCAAGAAAAAAGACTGGGCAGTTCTGTAGTCTGTGAGGATTACTGAAGTCTCTGTAGCAGTTATTTAAAAAGGAAATAGTATGGACAAGGATGAGATGGTAAATACATTGTAGTGCTGTTATATTAATCAGTGCTGAAACTCTCTGTTTGAGTATGTATTTGGTAATGGCTGCCCTGTCCCAAAAGCAAATATCAGAGCAAGAGTTTAGTGAAGAAATTATTTGAATGTGGAAAATCTTATAGGAGGAAAAATTGAAAAAATGATGTCAGGAGATAAGAAGAATGGTGAAACATCCGTAGGAAATACTGAAAAATATAAGGAAGAGAGTTTCTTGTTACCTTTTCTCGTAATACAGGAGCTTGTAGAGAAGTTTGACCTTTAGATATATAACCTAAGTGACCTCAGATTCAAGGATGAATCTTAACTTTTTAATTTTGTTATTTTCTCTTCCCAAAGGGCAATATCAGCATGTAAATGTTCCTGAAGACCAGGCAGACAAGTTGCTCCTTGCAAGCTGGGGTCTTCCCCAAGCAGTTCTGGAGAAATACCACAGTCTGGGGGTAGTACAGATGTTTGAATGGCAAGCAGAATGTCTAATGCTTGGACAAGTTCTGGAAGGGAAGAACCTAGTTTACTCAGGTATGCAAATATCTGACAAAACCAGCTCCCCCCCAACTTTCCCAGTGTCATTTACAAGAATGTATTGGTGCTGAAGGGTTCTCATCTGACAGATAAAAAGGTCAAGATCCTCTTTTTTCTGGAGAGACCCCATTAAGATCTGTCCCGTTGCTGTACCTCAGACCTGGCTTGATAGTTTCCTTTCCAGTTGTGAAGAGAGACTTTTCCCCCCATTTTCTCTGTTAGTGTTCCTTTAGAAACTGATAATTAGGAGTCGGTTAATGATGACTCTCTCTTATTACAGACCATGTCAACCAGGAATGGAATGATAACAGCAATGTTAGATATAAATACTTTTGAAAATGTTATGTACTGTCTAATTTTTTCAGTACCTTTATAATTTCTCTTCACCTAATGTATGGGCAAAGCGGGGTGCAGAAGGAGAAGTAGGACTGGCTGATGCACTAGAAATCTGTGGGAAATGACAACTTGTGTGTCTTCTCCATGGGGAGAAGGTCCCAGAGCAGCACTGGGATGATGAAGAACTTTCAAGAGGGGTGGGTGATTTTCTTAGGCTTGGATTTGGGTTTCATTTACTTGGTTCCAGGAGACTTTGAGCCTGATTGCTGGGTCATGACTGTCCCCCAGTATGTGGCATCTCCTCCACAGTTTTCTGTGGCTGATAGATAGCAAACAGCAATGCTTACCGAGGAGAGGGGGTTAATGTATTTGTGGGCTAGGTCAGTAAGGTGGTGGCTGAGCTCTCCTCTCCAACCAGAAGAATGTAGTGGGTTTTTTTTGTTTATTTGTTTTTTTTTTCCCTTGCTTATTGCTGAGCTGCTGCTGCTTCTGGAGCAGAGATGAAAACAGAAGCCTTGGTAGCATGGTGGAAGAGGCTAGAAGAGAAATAGTTTGCAGTCTTCTTGACCCGTTATGGGGTTAACTGCAAATGTGGTTGTGACTGTGGGAGAGATGCATCAGTCAGAGTTCTGCCCCAAGTTCTCCAGTAACTGCTTTTAATGCTAGCTTTATAATGCTTGTTCCTTGGATTTTTTTTTAACTTTAAAAATTATTTAAAAAAAAAACCACCCCAAACTTGTTTTTCCCCCCAGCTCCTACCAGTGCTGGAAAGACTCTTGTTGCAGAATTGCTTATTTTGAAGCGAGTCCTGGAAGCTCGTAAGAAAGCTCTTCTCATCCTTCCCTTTGTCTCTGTGGCCAAAGAGAAAAAATGTTATCTGCAGGTAAGTAGCATTCAAGGATGGTAAATTTATGGGTTGTAGTTGTTGGGTCACATTTTTTAAATAGAAGTTTTAGCATGGATTTGAGGAAAAAAAAATTGGCAGAGTTGTTTTGGAAAGGATTTGTAGATAATTTAAAATGTGCTCTTGTTCTAAGTTGGAGATAAAAAAAATGAAAGTTTTAGCCAAAAAGGGAAATTGGGAAAAATCTAAGGAGTTGATTTATTTCAGCTTTGACTTCTAAAGCATTGTTACTTGCTTTTATTCACAGATTTTATAATAAACAAACTCTAAAGGAATTTTCTAATTAGAGATTGTGTCTGAAAAACTACAAAGGGAAGGTGTCAACATTATCTGAAAGGATAAAAGGATATTTTAGCTTTTCTTGGGGTGTTCCACTAGAATTTTGTGCCTTTGATTTCACTTTGACTTTGCTAAAAATTTGTTCTGACAGAATGTAGTTATGTCTTGGCTTCCTCACCCCAGCTATTTAAAAACAAAATTACAGTGGCAACAGTGTTTTTAAAACAAAAAGATTTTTTCTTGAAAGACTTTCATATCAAAGTGTTTCCATTACCTAATATGTCAAAGTAACAACAATTACTAAAACCAAATACAAAATCAGCAGGCATTTTTGTCATGGTTTCTGACATTTAAGACATTTTGGATGTTAATAAACTGAGATGGTATCTTAACCTTGCAAATTGCTAGGAAATGCCACAAACTGAGTGCAAAAGCTACTTTGAAGTGATTGATAATGGAGACATGCTTTTACTTTAATCTTGTAAAGCTGGAGGATTATCGATGCTGTGTTCTACTACTCCTGGCCTAAGGTTTGGCCGTAGCTGCACATACTTGAAATCATATGGTATCCTACCCATCGGATTCAAACATTTGTACCTTTTGTTAATGCAGTGTGTAATGTGCCAAAGCTTTGGCACTGCAGTAGTAAGTCTTGGAAGAAAAGAAGTTGTGGTTTCTTGACTTTCAGTGGGAGCTGTGACATCTGTGTCTGAGGTCCCACATTTGGGCCGTTGCCCAGGATTTCTCAGGAGCAAGGCTTCTTTGTACATAACCCACTGGTATTATAAACTGTTGCACTGTGTGTTTGCTAACCTTTTTATCAGTAAATGTTTTTATACAAAACGTTGGTCCCCATCTCTTAGTTATGTACACTTCAACTTGCAATGTGTACTGTGTGGCTTCTGCTTTGGAAATAAAAAATGACAGTGGGGAAAAAAAAAAGTAGCAGTAACTGGCTGAGCTACAGATTTAATCTGATTAGTTGACATTACAAGCACAATTTCTAGTACTTATAGGATGCAGGTTTTTATGTGATTCCAGCAGGCATTCGTCAAAATTCAGAGTTGTAACCTTGACATGACATTCTGTATCCTTGGAAAACAGGCGCTGTTTCAGGAAGTGGGTGTGAGAGTTGAAGGCTACATGGGAAGCATGTCTCCTGCTGGACGTTTCTCTGCCCTGGATGTTGCTGTCTGCACCATTGAGAAAGCCAATGGCCTAATCAATAGACTAATAGAAGAAAACAAAATTGACTCACTGGGTAAAATACTAAGGCTTGACCGTTACGGGGATGAGGTTTATTACATACTCTGAGTACAGATGAAATCATGGGATACTTCGTATTGCTCAGTTCTGTATGTGACAGACAGGCCATATAGGAAAATTGAGCAATTTTTCTTCTTCCAGAGCACCTCTGATTTGGATTTAGGAAGGCAATCAGGACTGTTTTATGTAGCTCAGCGGCTGGGATGAGTAGGTAGAAGCTGGAGGTTTTAGTTTCTCTGACACGGATGACAATCCATGGACAGTGGTTAGCTGCAATAAGCAGTGATTCATATAGCTAGAAAATGTCTTCTAATTAATGAAATTGAATTAAGGGTCTAGGGTATGTTTGAGTTCAAGAATGTATGTATGTTTATTTTTTTTGGACAGATTGTGGCATCCATGGTTTACCTTCACTTAGCTCAAGGAAGAGGAGGAATTGTGTTTGATGCTCATCTGCATCCAGATAAGTGGAATGAACACATACAGCTCCTCTGGGTAGGCATTGTGACTAGGAAGGCTGTGACATTAATTTTTCTCTTATAGCCCGCTCAAAAGCCCTCTGTCCTTCTAACTCAGGCTGCTGGGTTACTGTGGCCCTAGTGGCCACTAGATAATGGTAGTATTTAGTGTTTGGGAGGAGATATAAAATGTCAAGAAGGCCTATGTTTCCAGTGCACACTTGGGGAGATGTGCTTTCCTAGTCGGGTCAGAAGTTTGTTTTTCTCTGTTTCCCTGCTCAGTAAAGCTATACTCAGTTATACTTTATACAGTAATCCCTCCCATCTTCACTCTGGCCTGTAGCATAGCTGGTTGCTATTTTAGGAATATAAAAACTGGAAAACTAGATGAGTATGAAACTTCTCTGAGACCTTCACCTATGAAACTGCTGTTCCATGTTTATCTGGTGGTGTAATATTCTGCAGCATTGTATACCAAAAGAGTTTTTTAAACCCAAGAGAGAATAAGGGAAATAAAGCCTTGCAGATTTTCTCAGAGTGGGAGATAATGGGATGACACATTCACACCTGGATCTGTAGGTGCTGGATCACCATGAGTACTTTAGATTGCCAGTGGGCTGGAAGATGAGTGGATGACCGTGGTTGTGCAGCATTTTAAGCTCATTCGAATTGAGGCTTCTGCAGTCCAGTCAGATTCTTGAATGTATATCTTCATCCCTTCCCTTGCAAGAGAACTGGCGATCATGCAGTTAGTTATTTCAATATATGGCTACTTAGTTTAGGGGTTTTTTTTGTTTGTTTTAAATAGGGTTAGTTTGATCCTAGGTCACCACACTGTACAAGCTGTACTGCCAGGCAGAGAGTGGGGTCATGATGTCCGTATTTATGTTGGCTTGGGTGCCTTGGAAGCATACTCAGTATACTAAAATGTATTGTTTAATGATAACATCTTTCAGAAGCTAGAGATATGCCAAATCCCTTTGGTTGGTACCTCCATTCCATCCCTATATTTTGTTGTGCTCTCTAAGAGGAATGTACTTGAGAAGAGTCATGTAGGTATAACCAGCAAATGATTACAAGATTTGAGTTTGGATGTGTCCTCAACACTGATACCTCCTTAAAGCATGATGTTTTTCTTTCACCATTTGAAAACACCTCTGCTGCAACTCTCCATTTCCCTTGTGCCCCAATATGTTCGTATAATTGACATAAGGGTAAAATTTTTTTTTTCCTTTGTATGCTTATTTGAAATGAATTTTAAAATTAAATTTGAGTTTAAAAATAATCTTAGAGTAAGAAATTGACAAAATTTCTATTTAGAGATAAATTTTCATGAGAGCTACAAAATATAGGCATGAGCTGAAAATGCCAGTTTAACTGTCACCTAAAGCAAGCTAGTCTGAAACTGCAAGATTGTACCTTGTCTTCTAATTAATTCTAAATTTAGACCAGTTTGTAACGAGGGTGTTTTATCTTTTGAGATGAGTTACTGGGAGATGACTGCAATTCTGGCTGGATTCCATCTCAAGCTTGAGCTGTTCCTTTTGTTGATTTCAACCTCCTGCTGATAGCTCATGTTGCCTTTGGAAATTATTGAGAGAAACTCAAATCCTCTTCCTGGCAGAGCTCTCTTTGCTGTATGACGCAGTTAAAAGCAATTTTGTGTTCCTAATTATTATATAACGTGTCAGTTTTGAACATCCAGGTACACAGGAGATGATATTCCTCTTGTTTTTCAGTTTCTTGACACTGATGCTAAAGAAATTTTTAGGAAGGCGGATTAGAGAAGAATCTGCTGCCTTCTCAATGTCAGCTGGGAATAGATTTGTAATGTGCTGTTGTGATACTTGTTTCTTTTCTTAATTTAAACTTGAAATTAAAAAAATTGCTAGTTTAATGGTATGTAAAAAAACCTAAAAATCAAATCTTTCCTGCCTGTCATTAAGAACTTTTTAGTTTTAAAGAGGATGTGGACTTAAAGCAGCCTAGTTATTCTATACTAAACATGTATGATAGCTCTCAAGTACTTTTTAGTAGTTTTTTTCCAGCAGTCTTCTAGGGACACACCTAATTTGCAGACAGAAACCGGAGACTGAGGTTAGCCTCATTTTCAGTAGCAATGCAGTATGATGAAATTCTGGCCCCACTTGCACTCCTGAGCTTGTTGTTGAGTGGAAAATACCATTGCATGCTGGAACCTGAAGTGCCCCTTGGCTGCAATTCCATTTCAGAATGAGGATAGCTTTGTGAAAAATACTGGTTGCCTGATTGCTCCTGCTGTGTTATCCTGGTGCATGTGTTCTGAGTACTGCCTGAATAGAGGAGAGCACTGTGCATGTGTGACAGTCAGGTCTCACCAGCTTGCAGACTGCCAGGGCAATACAGTACACAGGTTTAGTGTGAGTTTAAATATGTGTTCTAGCAGAGTAGCAGCAAAAGGTATAGAACAAGTGGCCCATACAACAAAGAGTGGCATTCCCTGTGCTTTGGCCTGTAGGTACCACTAGTCTTCTATGCTTCATTTCAGGATGCAAAATGTGCTGCTGCTTGGCACAAAGACTGGAAAGGTAACTTGTATGAATTTTACTTTGGAAGATACCTGATTACACTGTCTTGTCTCAGCTGCTAGAAGAATTCAGACAGACTGTTGTACGGGGAAGCAGGAAAAGCTTTTTCTGGTAGCTGAATATGTATTTGGTGACCGATGAATTACTGTTTTTTACAAGTGAGCTCAGAATAGAGGAAGTACAGGAAGACAGAGGAGCTGGATGGGTGGGAGTTTGTAAAATAGGCTGATGAAGCAATACAGCACTCTAACTTAAGTGGCTTGAACGAGAAGGGGGGAGAAAACAGATGGGGAGAAAAGGAACATATGTAGGAAGGAGAGAAAAAAAATAAGACAGAAAAATAGCATTGAAACATAATATAAGGTCACATTTGCCCTTAAGCTCCTGCTGTGTAGCTGTACAAGGAAGATATTACATAGCTGCACTAAAAAGGAAAAAAAATTCCACTGCAGCAGGACTAATGAAGCCTGGTGTCCTCTGTGCCTAGCTTTTTTTATTTAACCTTCCTTCAACCTCTTCCATGTCCCTGTGACCCTGCCAGCTGGCCAGAAAGGGTACATACTGCTGCTAGCTGGGATGTGTGCAGGAGGTGTGCTGGCTGAGTTGTAGTAGCTCTATGTTTTCTCCTCAGGGGAGACCCTAGTCTGGTCTGTTGTCTCCAGCTGCTGATATTCAGAAAGCTTTTTAGACTTTATTCTTTTCAATATTTATACACATCTTAGAAATTTGATGGAGGTAGCTAATAGACTAAAAAGTCATTTGCAGGAGGTAGGATGACAACAGAACAGTCATGTAAGGATTTTTTTTCATTAGAAAGCCAAAGTTATATAGTAGAGCTCATTCAGGTTTGGTTAGTGAAAGAAGATATAATAGGAAGCAGGCTATGCCAGTGTAATTACATCTGCTGTAGGTTTTTTTCTGACATTACTGTATTAGTATGGAGTGATGTTTTTAACTAAGACAGCAATGTCAACAAAGCTGTTGACTAGCTCATTTGGGTGCTGGAATGCTCCTTTTCAGATACTCTGAAACCTGGGGGTTTTTACTTGCAGAGAGATTACCATACAGATGCTGCAATACTGTTTTGTGTGGTGCCCCAGACTAACAACTCAACCGATTTATTTTTATTTTTTTAAAACTGATTGTGTGTGTAGTGGGGGGTGTGAAATATCATGATGTTGGTCATGATTTGGTGCTCTCGGAAGAATCAGTGACAGAAGGAAGCCATAGTGGTGTTGGTAAGCACAGCTGGATTTATGAATATAAATTTCAGTTCATGATGTGGAATATGAAAAGATTGAGGCTATCTGTTCTTAGTTTGAAGCTTTGTCAGATATAACCTCCAGATATAACCTGAGTGCTTCTCTTTATCAGGAGTGGTGGTTGTGGATGAGTTGCACATGCTGGGAGACTCTCATCGAGGGTATCTGCTGGAACTTCTTTTGACCAAAATTAGATATGTTACAGAGAAGGCTGCAAAACGGTGGGTGGACCAGGATGTTTGTCTTTTAATGCTAAATTATGGATGGCTCTAAATATTTTGTTCTCTGGGTGATTGGAAATTTGGGTTAACTGCAGGGTTTTTATGAGAGTGATGACCTAGACTATTTTGGTTATTAAGGTCTTATCATATGACCTCTCAGGGGCCTGCCATTGTAGTCAAAACCTCTTTTCCTCATGGTTTTCAATTTGCATGCTACCATGGGATTCATTCTCTCAGGAGAAGAAATAAGGCTGAAGCTTTCATTTACCTTTTTTAGCCTATTTAAATTTTTCGAAAAACTTTTGATTTCTTTTAATGTTTTTGCTAGTGGACTTGCCCTGCTTAATTTTTCAGTGTTTCATGGAATGGGTTATTTATCCTACTGAAATGTTCAGGTATTGTGGAAGAGTGGGTATGCTGTTAACTTGTCAATGGTGAAATGATCAGAAGACTTAAGAGGATGTGCCAGTAGTCTGCTTAGCACTGCTCAGGGTGATCTGTGGTTCTGCTTGCAACATGTGATAGCCTAGTGGTTGCATGGTTTCTTGCCTTTAGCACAACCAATTGGACACTGGGGAACAGATTAGATGTTTCAGAGGAGCTTTAGAGGCTTTTAACCATTCATTATCTAGGTCCCCAACAACAAACTGTCCAGTGACTCCACAGTGCTCAAACACAGACAAAGGCAAGTGGAGGAGATGGTGTATTGACCTTATTAATTTTTATTGGTGTTCTGAGAGAAGTGTCAAAATCAACTGTTCCCTTCCCACAAAAAGCCAGGTTTTGCCAGTTTTCTCTGCTGCTGCTGGTCTTGTGAGTCGTACCAGTGCTGGGCTAAGCACAGACTACCTATTTAGTTCTGAGGGAATTGCCATTTCTACATTGGCTCTCCACTGGATGTTTTAGCTGGTATTTCCCATCCTGATTTCCAGAATCCAGCAGTGTTCTGGGTCTAATCACCTCTGACTTTTTCCCATGTTCTCCCAGTAAGTCTTGGAAGCCAGTACACTTCAGAGCAGCGTGAGTGGCTTTGCCACTCCTTTTACCTTGGCTTATCACGTAGCTGCAGCACAAGTGCAGGTCCACTATCTGCTTTCCTCCCTTGCATTAAAGAAGCAGGAAGGAGAAAACATTTGTCAGGGAAAAAGGGATAGATGCATCAGAGAATGTTCCTGCGAAGACACAGTACTTCATTATATAGGTGCTAGGGCCCAGATTCTCCATCATCATAGTCAAGCTGACAGTGGTTTCCCTTACCACTTACTGACGTGAAGGAGGTGGCCACTATTTTTGTTTTGGAATCCACTTGAGATTCCTGGAGTTGAAGACCACATTTTTCTCTCAAATGTCCTCCCAAGTCTGTGGTGCTTTTTTTTTTTTCAATTATTTAACAAGAACCCCTTTATCCAAATTCTTTAAACACTGTCCAGCCAATTATCAGAATGACCAGTACTTTTAAGAGCTTTTAAAATGGTTAGCTGGATGTCCCATTGAAGTATAAGGCTGTGTCTTCACACCAAGAGAATGTTCTCTGGCCATTGCCAGTGTGGGTGCCCTTGCTTCTCTGTGAGGCTTTTGCAGACCTAGCCAAAATTCTGCAGCAGATTTTTCTCCTCCCCAGTTAAAGAATGTGTTGTGGAGCTGGAACTTTTTTTAATCCTTGAAGGTCAAAAGTTGCTGTAGGGGGAAAAATCTGCAACCTAGGAGGCAGAGCTGTACTAGCAAATGCTTGAAGAGCTTGGATAAGAGAGAGTCTGCCTCTCCACATCCTTGTTTCTGTCTCATCAGTGACTGGCCTTTTTTATTCTAGCTTCTAGGTAGTCTTGTTTCCTCTGTCTTGTCTTTGCCAGGATTACCAGGATCTTCTAAGAAGGTTCAGGCTGTTTCTGAGCTTGCATTGATTTGTCAGACCTTTTTATTTTTTTGAAGTGTCGATTTGTGGTTCAATGCAATGCAAATGAATAGTTTTCAAACGTAGGCTTAGGAGCATAAAAAAACCCTGCTGTGTGGATATAAAAGCCTGAATTAAATATACATTTGGGTATATAAATTAATGGTTTGTGTTTTCAGGTCTGTAAGTCCATTATTTCTCACTGCCTTTAGTGGAAGATCTGTTCAGCACTTTGAGAACTGAAGCTGCTTGCTTCTTTGCTGAACTAAGGGCTTTGGTTCCCAACTCTAGGAAGACCTTAGTCGAGTACTATTTGTCCTGAAATTGAGACAAATGGAAGTGTTTTAATTAAGGCATTTAAGCTTAGAAAAACTGCAGTGGAGACTGAACCATTTGTTTATTTCCATGTTTTTGTTAATGGCAAGGAAATAGTTGCCTTATTTATTTGTTTTCAGTTTCTCTGAATATGCAGTCAGTTTATGGCTGTTGTTACCTAAAGAAGCTTAAAGTTTAGGTTCAAAATGATAAAAAGTTGAATTACTTTGTTATCAATACATAACCTGACATTGTGTTTGCCAAGAGTACAGTACGGCTTGTTTCTTTGTCAAGATGTTGAAAAAAATAGTTTTGCATTTTAGATGCTGGAAGGAAGTAGATTGAGTTAGTTTTTCTGAATCCTGTTTTCCAGAACAGTAGCCTGTGTTGTCACTAACTTTCATTTTCTTTTAACCACTTCCAGACGGGCAAAGATGACCAGTCCAGGTTTTCGTGGGATACAGATAATAGGCATGAGTGCTACCCTCCCTAACTTGGGACTCCTAGCCTCATGGTTAGATGCAGAGCTATACTGTACGGATTTTCGCCCTGTGCCCCTCAAGGAGCGGGTGAAAATTGGCAGCAACATTTATGACTCCTCCATGAATTTAGTGCGAGAATTCCAGCCCAAGCTTCAACTGAAGGTAACAAAAATCTAAGCAGTGGCTTTGGGATAACACCTTTTGTACAGCTAAAGTTAAAAACACAGCTGCTGGTATGTTTTAATTTTTTTTTTAAATAAATGACATTCCTGACTTCATTGTTTACTTCATAGATTGTATGCTCAAACTGAGAACAAAATTGGTTTTTTTAACTTCTACTGATTTAAACAAAAAACCAAAGCAAAACACACGTTCATCAAGTTCTTGAACTTTCTTGAATCTGACTTGAAGACAAAGTTGACTTTGCAGTTATCTTGTTTCTGAGCACTTGACAGGTATAAAGAGTTTGATTCTCCCCTTACCCACGACCCTATCTTGTGTCCTGAAATCTACTTCACTTTCATAAATGAAGGTAAGTATTTCCTGGTTAGGCGAAGGAATTTGCATTAATCATTGGGAGAATGTATTTGCGTCAAAATCTGGTATTGAACCTGCTTAATGATCATTTCTAACTGCAAAATGATCTAATTTTGTCAATGATGTCCATCCTCATTCTTCTGAATCTGTTTTCAGTATTTAGTCTTTTTGCACACTTGAAAAGGACATGAAAAGTTAAGGATAACATACTATAATGATTTGGAAGAACCAAGTGGGCAGAAATGGGAAATTTGCACTTTGTGCTTTTGTAGGTTCCTTTTCTGTAGAGCCTTTGAAGGGTGAATTCTCTCCACAGTCCTCTCAACTACTCTGTGTAATACTAGTGTAGTAGTTGGACAATATGAGTTGAATGCCAGCAATATTTTGGAATGTTTTGCACCCGGTTCTCATTGTATGCAAACATTCTGTTGTCAGTAGCATGGTAGCACGGCAAAGAAAAAGGATCCTAGAAACAAAAGGAAATGTTAGTGACAAGAATATCTGGAAGCTTGCTTTTATGTGGTCATATTGAGAAGGTGATGTCGCATCTCCTTTTCTGGATATTTTTTTGAAGTAGTTTCTTTGGATTGGTGCTAAATTAAGTGAGAGAAAGAACTAAACTAGGCTTATGACTGAACAGTTTAAGGGAGTTGGCTTATTTTATAAGACTAGGTGATCTTCTTGGGCTTGAAATCCATCGCTGGACCTTCAGACTTCTGTTCTGTGCCTCAAACTCAGTCGGCAAGGTATGCAGTGGTGGCAAGGGTAAATCCTGTGGCTGACTGCTAGATTGAGGTGGACGGGGGTTCCCGGAGGCAGGGAAACCAGCGGAAGAGCAGAGACACCTGTCAGGAGGCAGCAGTTCTCGTGAGCGAAGCTGACGTGGCTGGGGAGTTGCCACAGATTTAAACAGCCCTAGGGAGTGCTAGTGACCAGAAGCGCTGTGAACAAGGTGGGCAAACAGGGCGTGGCGTGTCAGCCAGGGCGTGATGCCGTAGTTTGCATGGGAGGGCGTGCAGGGAGAGCCCTGTGGCCTGCTTGTAGGTCCACAGCCCAAGGAAGTGCTGAAAGTCTCTGCCAAAATGGTTGGTACTCACCTCGGAGCTAAAACCAGAGTTCCTACAGAGAAAGTCCCCGAGATGTCTGATGCTTCCGCTCAGATGGAACTGGTAAGGAAGGAGACCTCAGTACAGGTGGTAAGTTGCAATGAGTGCCCAGGCCCTTCTCCTAGAGAAGAAGCGAGTACCTGCATAAGGTGTGCACAGGTTGATGATCTGTTGCATCAGGTGGCTGAGTTGCAGGAAACGGTTAAAAGGCCGTGCAGTATTAGAGGAGCCAAGGAGGAAACAGATAGGTGGTTTCAGAACCATGATCCTGAAGTGGACACCATTGAGAATGAAGCATCTTGGACCCTGGTGACCCACAAAAGCAGGACTCTGCTTCAGCCTCCATCCTCCAGCACCACAACTAAAACCAGTTATGAGGCTTTAACAGCTATGGACACCCACAAGCAAGGTCTGCAAGGAGAAACTGTACCAACAGCATACAGTGGATACTGTAAAAAGGACAGACAAGGGCTCATAGTAGGTGACTCTGTTAAGGGGCTCTGAGGCGCTCATCTGCTGACCTGACAGGGAGTCATGTGAGGTATGCTGCCTTCTGGGAGCTAGAGTCCAAGACCTTGCCAAGAAGGTGCCACAGCTTGTCAAGAGCACAGACTATTATCCACTGCTACTCTTTCATGTGAGCACAAATTACACTGCAAGCCAGAACCTGGGCAGAATCAAGGAAGACTGTAAAGCCCTGGGGATGCAAGTGAAAAATATTAGTTCCCAGGTTATCTTTGCCTCCATTTTACCAGTCAGAAGAAAGCAGGCAGCCAGAAATGGATGTATAATGCAAATCAACTTCTGACTTCATGACTGGTGCTGTCGTGAGGGTTTTGGCTTTTATCACAGTGGGACATTCTTTGATGACTATAATCTTTTAGAGAGGGATGGAATCCACCTGTCAAGAAGAGGTAAGGGAATCTTTGGCAGCAGGTTGGCCAAATTAGTGAGGCAGGCTTTAAACTGAAGGACTCGAGGGGTGGGGTCCAATGTGCAGTGTTCACAGCACTGCATCCAACTGGGGAATAAGCCAGGCCAACCAGAACAGGGACAAATGTTCCTTAGCTGCCTCCCAAGATGAGAACCAGAAGGGTTCTAGTAATAGTAACATGGATTCTTCAAGGGGAAGTCATGCTTGACAAATTTGATAGCCTTCTACGATGGCATGACTGGCTGGGTAGATGAGGGGAGAGGCGTGAATGTTGTGTACCTTGACTTCAGCAAGGCTTTTGACACTGTCTCCCATAACATGCTCATAGGTAAGCTCAGGGGGTGTGGGTTAGATGAGTGACCAGTGAGGTGGATTGAGAACTGGCTGAATGGCAGAGCTCAGAGGGTCGTGATGAGCGGTGCAGAGTCTTGTTGGAGGCCTGTAGCTGGTGGTGTTCTGCAGGGGTCAGTACTGGTCTTTTTTAACTTACTGGTATTGTTTAACTTATTCATCAGCGACCTGGATGAAGGGATGGAGTGTACCCTTGGCAAGTTCACTGATGATATGAAACTGGGAAGAGTGGCTGATACACCAGAAGGCTGTGCTGCCATTCAGCAAGACCTGGACAGGCAAGGGAGTTGGGCGGAGAAGAACCTAATGAAGTTCAAGAAGGGCAAGCGTAGGGTCTTGCACCTAGGGAGTAATAACCCCATGCGCCAGTACAGGCTGGGGGTTGAGCTGCTGGAGAGCAGCTCGGCGGAGGAGGACCTGGGAGTCCTGGTGGACAAGAACTTGACCATGAGCTGGCAATGTGCCCTTGTGGCCAAGAAGGCCAAATATTATCTTGGGGTGCATTAGGAAGAGTGTGACCACCAGGTCAAGGGAGGCTATCCTCCCCCTCTGCTCTGGTCTGGGGAGGCCACATCCAGAGTACTGTGTCTGGTTCTGGGCTCCCCAGTTCAAAAAAGACAAGGAACTACTGGAGAGGGTGCAGTGGAGGGCAACGAAGATGGTGAGAGGACTGGAGCATCTCCCTCATGAGGAAAGGCTGAGAGTGCTGGGTCTGTTCAGCCTGGAGAAGAGGAGACTGAGAGGAGATCTCATCAATACTTCTAAATACCTTAAGGGTGGGTCAAGAGGATGGGGCCAGATTCTTTTCAGTGGTGCCCAGTGACTGGTTATGAGGCAATGGGCACAAACTTGAAACCCCGGGAAGTTTCATCTTGATATGAGGAAGAACTTCTATACTGTGAGGGTGACAGAGCAGTGGAACAGGCTGCCCAGAGAGGTGGAGTATCCTTCTCTGGAGATATTCAAAACTTGCCTGGATGTGATCCTGTGCAGCTTGCTGTAGGTGAACCTGCTTTGGCAGGGGGGCTGGACAAGATGATCTCCAGAGGTCCTTTCCAACCGCAACCATTCTGTGATTCTGTGAATCTGGACCAAGAAAGGGAACTTGATGACCTCGCCACTTCTGCTGAATTTGACTGAATCCTTACCAAGCTTTTGATGTGTATATGCAGTTCCTGCCATTGATCCCCTGTTTTCATTTGCATTTTAGTGCTTTTTATTTCTTACTGCATGCCTACCTTTTTTTCTCTTTCTCCTTTGACCTGCTTGCTGGAAGAGAATCTGGCTCAGCCAAGCAAAACAGATCAGTTGCAGGAACGCTCTTAGGATCTTAAAACCAAAAAGGCAAGCTGTAAACAGTAAGGTTTTGTGTGCACATCTATACAGGTATCCATGAAAGCCTTCTGCTGTGCTTTGAACACTTAACAGTCTTTGGTCAGCAGTGCTTACTGGGTGCATCTTACTGAGGGTGCTTAGACTAATACATCTCAGGCTTTTAGTTCAGACATCCTAGTTGATAAGTCTCCCTTAGTTACTGTAGAGGGATGTTTTCCCTCGGGGCTCTTCCTAGTTCTTCCCCACTGCTGTTAGCCACAACATGGAGGTTGCAGTGATATTATTTTTTTTTGTGTGTGCACTTTGTGGCCTTCGTTCAGAAACAGGTTTTGAAAGCAAGACATAAAACCTTAGATTTATTCATGGGTAGGTCTAGGGCTGTCCTCAACAATGCGGTCATACTAGTGCTTGGACTTCCTAAAGCAAGACAGAAACTAAGATAACAGTGCTCCATCTTCTTTGCTCCTCTTTCTGACTTGAAGTAGAAGATTCCTACTGTGACACAGAAGAGTGACAGCATTCAGTGTGAGAGCGCATTCAGTGTGAGAGCGCATTGAAAATATTTTGTCTCAATTCAGGGAGATGAAGACCATGTCGTGAGCCTGTGTTATGAGACTGTTTGTGATGGCCATTCAGTCCTGCTTTTCTGTCCATCCAAGAACTGGTGTGAGAAGCTGGCAGACATCGTTGCCAGGGAATTCTACAGTTTGCAACAGGCTGAGAGTAAGAGAAAAGTAGTTAATAGAAGACTGTATAAACAGTGCCTTTAATGAAAATTAATTTTAGTAGAAGCTATAAAAATATTTTCTCTCTCAAGGTTCTGCAAAAAACTCAGCCCTTGCCCCAGTTGTTGTGGACAGAGAAGGGGTCGATGAGGTTCTGGAACAGCTAAAGCGCTCCATCTCAGGCCTGGACTCTGTGCTCCAACGTACTTTGCCATGGGGAGTGGCATTTCATCATGCAGGTATTCCTGGATATCTTGGTCTTGAATTCTGTAATGGTCAAGTCATATGGGTTATTTTTGTTGTAGTTACCAGCAATTTACCAGTTGCTTTTTGAAGCCTTCTGTAGCTTATGACTGAAGTAAAATGCTTTGAGAATCTCACAGTTAGAGGTAAACTTGAAATTTTAAAATTGTGGCCAAGGACTTTAATTCACTAATTGTTATGATAAATCTTCTCTCTGTTGTGTTAATAGCACCAATTTTTTAAATACAACTTAAATTTTTTTTGTGAAGCGCCTGAAAAATTAGCTGATTTGCAGCCCAAGCATTTTCAAATTGTCCCTAAAGCTGCCAGAGTATTTCAGAGCAATTTTCCTCAACTTAATACTGAAATAAACGAGTAAATAGAAGTATAACAATGAAAATAAAAACAGAAGGATCATGTGCTGTGAATGCTTCTGGCTAGATCTTTTATTTCTTTCTTAAGTAGGTAGTAGTGTATGTTGATCCACTGAGAGTGTATGGGATCCACTGCCTCTGGAAGAGAGATCAGTAGCTATGGCATTGAATATGTAGGGGGAATAATTCCAAATGCTTAGAAAGTGTGGATTTCATTCTCAAGAATAAAATTGGCCTGAAGTCCTCAAGGAAATGTAGAAAGTAACATGTAAAGTAGAAAGTAGATCTGTAACCTAGAATGGAAATGATGAAGGAGGACTCCAGGGTGAGGATGGCAAATGACTAAATCCTAGTTCCCTACTGTGTGTGTTACATCCAGTTTTCTTCTTTTTATTTCATTTATTTATTTATTTATTTACTTGCAGTGCTTGCAGATGTGTAGTAAATAGTTGTTCATATTGCTACAATGTGTACAAATAGCTTAGAAAAGCTAGTTTATAACTATTACTTTCAATTGAATAATAAAAACAATGGTGAATTTTTGCTTTACTTATGGTTTGAAAGAAGTTAACTGAGGTGGTGGTGTGAGTCTAGTTCCTAACACTGAATGGCAAATGTTCATTAAGTTTGTTCTTCCCCTTGCTTGACAGTAATATTATTAGCTCTTAAATGCAGTCTCACCATTATTAGGTTCACTAAAAGTCATCTTTCCTCAGGTCTTACTTTTGATGAACGGGACATCATTGAAGGAGCCTTTCGCCAGGGCTTGATTAGAGTCCTAGCAGCAACCTCCACACTCTCATCTGGAGTGAATCTGCCTGCACGCCGAGTAATTATACGAACTCCCATGTTTGCTGGCAAACTGCTGGACATTCTTACTTACAAACAGATGGCTGGAAGGGCTGGCAGGAAAGGAGTAGACACGGAGGGTAAGCAGAGGCTTTATTAACATTCTCTAAGAATGGTATTAACCTGATTAAATCAGGGCAGTGCTTTGCAATTAGTGACTAATCATGATGAATTCCTTTGGTATTCAGTATGATTAAGTTAATCAAGGTGAATTTGTTTGGTATTAATGGAGTAAAAATTGTAACTCCCAGGGGATTCTTTTCACTGCATGAGACTTAGTTTGGGATTTATATGACAGTTACTTCAGGAATGGGCTATTTTCTCCTTTGAATTCTTGTTAGCTTCTCAGGCTGTGGTGTTTGTTTGCCTTAATTCTGTGATCCATGGTCAGTTTACTAAAGCATTTAGTAAACAGTTTCAGTGAGAAAATTTACAGTAAACTCTCATTGGACAGGCCTAAAATGTAAGAAATACATAATTTGCCAAACTTCTGTTGTCTGAAGTTCTGATTTGGATTTATTAAACTTCCACTAAACTTCACCATAACTTTTATGGATCTTGAAAGTAGTAATGCAACAGAGAGACAGGGAAATATGAATGGTAGTTCATACATAATACGGTGTCTTCATGCATACAGCGGCACTGATTGATGTTCAACAAAATAATCCTGCCTGTTATTTTAATTTGCAATGGAAATTTATCTTCATGGATGATATTTAGAAAAATTGTATTATACAAGTACAAACACAGTAGAAAATAAGAAGTTCAACAGGAGCAGGAAGAGGGATTTGCTCTACTGATGATTTGACTGGAGCTTGCTAGAACCCTATGTAAGCAGACTGTTCTTACATTTAACTTTCTATTTTTGCCCTAGTAGCATAGCAACAGAGTATTTTGCTACCTATATCTCTGTAAGCTATCCCTATGTGTTAAAGAAAAGGGCAGCTGCATGCTGTATTTTGAAATTTTCCAGATTTTGTCATTTGAGTGTGGCTGGCAGGTGTAAAATTACATTATTTCTTCAAGTTTCTTTTTTTTTTGCCTTCGAGTTACAATAATTAGTACCCTTTTTTGACAGTTCTGATGTCACTGTGTTTTGCACAGTAAGCAGTTGATTTTAGGCTGATGAGCTTCATGAATGTACCGTTTTTTTTCCACTCTGCAGAGTCTTTTGGATAAGAACATAAAGCTACATTACCAGCTGCTACTCTTTCACAGAGTAGGAGGCTGGAGGACAGCAACTTCAGCTGGAAAAAATCCCTTATGTGGATAAAAAATTCAGCTGACAGACAGAAGAGAAATGTTGTTGGGTTGATTTCCTTCTCCCCTCCCAACATTGTAGTGTTGGATTGTCTCAGGTTTTGATTTTAAAATTATTGTTTCTGATTTGATGGAAATTTAAAAATATCATTTTAGAAAATGAAATTCAGTTATTTTTGCATTCATCAAAACTGTCACGTTCCCAAGGTGAAATAGGTAAAGCTGTTCAATATTGCTGAACAAAACCTGGAAATATAATAGCGCCTTTTTTGCTTTTAATGGAGTTTTATGCTTAGATAGCCGGAGTCTTCTGGTGTTGGTCTAGTCTGATGCTAACCTAGACTTCCCCTCTCATTTGAAATGTTCAATGAAGGATCTTAGAGTGGCTTAGGTTTTTGTTTGTTTGTTTTCTGTTTACTAGGTTGCAATTATTGGCTTTAAGTTCTCAGTGGCATCTTGGGAAAGGGTTTCCCCCAAGTCTTGAATGACTGTCAGATAATGTAAAGCCAAGAGCCAAGTGGATACTCATCTTCTATTAGATTTATCACACTGAAGAGTCAAAGTTTTCAGAGGGAATTGTAGGTCACATCAGAACACAAATTTGAAATCAGTGAGCATTCTTTATTGCTTAAGTCAAAATAAGCTTTGTTTTCACAAAATAATGCTTACAGGCAGTTTATCTTCTGTATTCTCAGCTCTGGCAAAAGTGCATGGTCAACAGATGCCAAAAGTATCACCTAACAGGATAAAAAAAACCCCTACATCCTCTGAGCACGTCTTTCATCCTGTAATTCACTTATGTGATCATGTTTAAGCTGTATTCGATTACTCACCTACACTGCTTTTGGGGTATTTATTCTGTACATTAAATTTAAGTGCTGTTGTGTTTTCGTTACCTCTGGATTTGCTAATTACTGTAGCATTACCACAGCTACAGTTTTATCATAACTTAACATTCCTAGGATCTTACTAAGATAGCTACTACCAAAATTACCTTGGTGTCCAGACTATGTGCAGTTAAATCTTAACAAGTTATCATAAACCTATCATGATAATTACTGTACAGCTAATCCAAATCTAATGCTTTTTTCATAGTCAAAGGCAAACTTGTCCTACCCATAATTCATTTATCCTGTGCCAATTGACAAAGCTAACTAGCTAGGTCTCCCAAGGACCTGTTTCTCTGTAATGGCTTTGTTGAAAAAAAAATCTCCTTTATGTGACCACTACATTTTCCATGGGTAGTCTGTACTATTATCTCATTAAAGGAGCTGGCCCATTATTTTTATTTTTGTTTCATGACTCTGGGACCTTTTTTCTCTCCCACAGAATTTCGGTAGTCAGGGATTAACTTAACAATGTCTGATAGAGAATTTTAAGGTAAGGTATATTTAGATGTACTTTCAGTGGAAACCATTCAAGATACTTAAGATTTTTTGTGTGTGTATATATATGCATATATGAAAGTTCAGAGAATGTGTAGTTACTTAGATTAATAACTTCAGATTTCTGAATTACTTTGGTATCTGTGTTATCTCATTTTGAGAGTAGAAGCTGGTTGACTTACAAACTGTCACAAGTTCTATGCAGCTTTTATGGTTTTTTCTTGCTTTTGAGAATCTTTTCGGTTTAATAATGCAATGCAGAAGAAAAATTGATGCCACTATATATTATAGTTCCAGTCAATTCCAGAACAAGAAGCGAGAGTGGTTCAGCAGCAAAGCAGATGCACAGAGAGGCTATGGAAGCTCCTTAGCTGATCTGGCAAGGCCCTCACCAGCCTAATGTAACTGTGAAGTTTGCTCTGTTTTTATTTCTTAAGTATTATGCATCTGTGGAGTTCTTATATAGTAATGGATATACACTGTTCAAGGTTGCAAAGTTGTGGTTTTTTTTTTATTCAGCTTTTTCAAAAATACCTACAGTTTACCATTCAAATAGTGTGTCCTTGATGAACTGTAATGCAGCTATTACAATGCTAAGATGCAAAACTAAGGTCATTAATAGTTTGTTTGGGCTTGTTTTGTTTGTTTTTTTTTTTTTTTTCCTATAGGTGAGAGCATTTTAGTTTGCAAGCCCTCAGAAAGATCAAAAGGAACTGCTCTACTTCAGGGATCTCTCAAGCCTGTTTGCAGTTGTTTGCTTAGAAGAGAAGGGGAAGGTGTTTCTTCTAGCATGAGAAGAGCAATACTAGAGGTACAGGACACATAAAGATGGATTAGAACTATGCTTGCACTCTTGTAATTGTAGGATGGTTTCTTTTGTGACACCATCAAATGTTTTCTGTGCACTTTCTTTTTCTTCTGTTTCCTCCCTTGTCAACCCAAGCAGCTTCAAAAGAAAATTACTTGGATCTGCTAGCTTGCTTCAATATTCAGCATTTTGTTTTGTATGTTTCAGTCCCTGCTTGCTGGAGATTAGGACGTGAGCACACTCAAACGAGGGTTACTAAACTTTTCTTTTGCATTTAGATGTACTCAAACTGCAGGCAGAAAGAAGTGTAATTCTTAAAATTCATGTGTGACCTGACAGTCTTAACAGGGAGATACTTGTAAATTACTGATCCCAGTGGCTTTGTAGACTGAAGTGGGCCATAATGAGATTTGTAGAACCTTGTAGGGTCCCTTATTTTCCCCCCTCAACTTACCTACCTCTTTTGCATAGAAATGATTGAAATTTTGTAAATAAGTTTTTGGTGAACCAACAGATGTGATACCCAATTCACTCCCTCCAGCCTGCCCTCCTCTGTAGGGTTCCTACAGGAGTAAATAGGACCAAAAAGGTGTTATCCACATCAGTGAGCTTATCTCCTTTTCCAGAGTTGCTTTTGGGCTTGAACTGAGCTTAGACTCTTTAAATACAGTTTGTTTGCTGTACTACTCGTGCTGTCTTGTGAAAGCTGCTGTGGTACTTAGAACATGGTTCTGATTCCATAGACTTTGAATTTTTAGCAGACCGATGGAATTTCTAAATGCATTTTTCTACATAAGAGCTATCTAAAAGGTGGAAGTTCTTTTCTGATGTTGTTGCTTTATAACGTGAAAAAAATCCAAGAAACCATGAAAGAAAATTTTTAGTTAAACACCTTGCTATCTCAAGGAAGACACACACATGGAAATGACTCACAAGAAAAAAGCAGTTATGTGAAAATCAAAATGAAAACAAAATCCAAGGGGGAAAAAATCACTCTCGATCAGAAAAACAATGATGGGGTATAGCATTCATATTTATTAAGAGAAAACTTCAGTATGCTGAAGAGCCTTAGGAGAACTCCTCCTTCCTAGTTTGCTTTTTGACTTCAGAAAATTGCAGTTTGTGTTCTAACCTTTTAAAACTATTTCACCGTGTTGGCTAAGCAAAATGCCTAGGTCTAGTCTCAAACCCAAATTGCTACTATGTAGAATCATAGAATCACAGAATCATTATGGTTGGAAGAGACCTCAAAGATCATCAAGTCCAACCGTATACCCAATGCCACCATGCCCGCTAAACCCACTAAACCATGTCTTGAAGCGCCACATCTAAACGTTTTTTTGAACACCTCCAGGGACGGTGACTCCACCACCTCCCTGGGGAGCCCGTTCCAATGCTTAACGACTCTAACAGTGAAGAAGTTCTTTCTAATGTCCAGCCTGAACCTCCCCTGGTACAACTTGAGAACGTTGTGCAAGTCTGCTATCAAAATAAGATTTTATAATTCATTCTTTCCCATAGCTTAGTCCTCTTACTTCTAGCTAAGGTGTCTAACTTCTTGCCAAGAAAAGTCCTTAAAGGTTGGCAGTTGCTTTGCCTCATGTTCCCCTCTCATACTAGTTCTTTAAAACTTAGATATCTGATGGATCAATCTCTTTGATTCTCCGATCTGATGTTCCATCCTACTGCTTCTCTGGCAATATGAACAAGTAGTTTTCTTCAACAGATCATAGTGGGGGGAGTGGCCAACACTCCAGATGATGTGCAGACGTATGCTTCTTGCACTCTTCTGGCATCCAGCTTGAAAGAAAGCAAGTCGGGAAATGAGAAAGCACAAGACAAAGTGCAGACTGGACCTGTTGAGGCTTGTGTGGCATGGTTGCTGGAAAATGAATTTATTCAGGTTCTGGACTCCAGCAGTGATGTGAAAGGTAATACTTGTGTTCTTCCCAGTGACTGCAGTTAGCGGTTTTGAATTAGTAAATCTTCTGCAGCTGGGTAGATGTTCAATGTAACTTTATAACAAAGACTTCTGTGCATTTTTGGTTTTATATTAAAGAATCATGTGTATCAAGAATTTTTTAGCTTTCTGGAGAATGTCTTTGTACTTTCTTTAATATTTTTTGCATGCATATGTTCTTGGAAGGCCTCTCTCTGCACATCACCTCTAAGACTGATGCGTCCTAATGTACAAATTCCCAAAATATCTTTAAAGAAGGCATACTGTCCTGCAGACTACAGGATTTGTGCACATTAACTGTAAACTATGATTTTTGTCTTTCTGAAGAACAACCAGTATATTGTAAGAGTTCTCTTCTAGAACTCCTTGGTATATGTGGTTGCACTTTTTCCTGATTTTGGCTATTTTCTTAAAATGGCTAAGGATGAGACTCTGGCAGTAATAGTAAGAATCCCCATTACAGGTTAATTTGTATCTCTTTTTTAAGAAAAGATGATAGGAGATTATTTGGCCTTCCTAAGAAAGAAAAATTCAAAATGATAATTCCTAGGCAGGATGGCAGATGGGATTCCAGTGTTTTTTGTTCAAACAGCTATCATAACTGTTAGTCTGAGTAGTTAGTGGGATTCAAGCTTGTGATATGGCTGAAAAAGGCTAATTTAGACTTAGGCAAGTCTAAATCTTTTATTGTTTCCATTTTTCTGTCTTCAGAATGGAGAAATACACTATTTCTTCTTGAAAAACCAGTTGAGAAAAGTTAGTAGAATTGATATCTATGAAATACGTTACAACCTGAAAATGAGATATAAACTTGCACTTAAATGTTTCTCTGTGTATTTTTGTTTTCCTTTTTTTTTTTTTCTTTTTTTCAAACAGCAAAAGTTTATCATCCAACACATCTTGGCTCAGCTACTCTTTCCTCTTCTCTTTCACCAACTGAAGCCATGGAAATCTTTGCTGACCTGCAGCGAGCTATGAAAAGCTTTGTTCTGGAGAATGATCTGCATATTGTCTATTTGGTAGGTGTCTCGTTCTGTGTTTTGTATTTTGTACGACCAAAACAAAGGAAAGGAGAGAAAGTACAATGCAGAGTTCTTGAGGGCTCCATGAACGTAGGATTTTTTTTTGTACTTTGCTTTGCTCATCCTTCATGAAGAAAAGTTGCTAAATTGAATGTTCTTCAGAACTAGTCTGTTCCCATATTGTGTAGGCTGGTACTGCACATCCATCTAAGCCCATTGTTGTCACTCTTGACTTTGAAAGACTTCAGAACTTTGTAAGTTTTAGGTGTAGGGTAATGTTAATTTTTCTGAGACACTTGAAGTTGATGAAACAAATTGGTTTTGTTGTGTGTTTGAGATCAGCAGGCTGCATCTCAGATTACTTTTGGAGGCTCAGAAAACTTCTGGGGTTTTAGCGTCTATTTTGCCTACAAAAACCTCAGAGAACTACACTGCTTTCTTCCTATGGGTGGGCCTTTCTTCGGTTCAGTAATAGTACAAATCTTCTCTGATATAGTTTACTTGCCTGGTGATGCTGCCAGGGCTAAAGGCAGGAGTGTGGTAAATCTTTTGAGGAGAAAGTGTCCCAAAGTTTGTCGAGATTTATGTGCATGTACACTTAAAAAGCTAAGCAATGCTATTTAAGACCTTTGGAGAGGAAGCCATGAACTGGTGAAGATCAGTGAAGAAATAAGATGGACTTGCAGTGAACATCTTAGGAGTCACAGCTGCCAGAGACTCATCATGCAATCATCATCTGAAATGTCACAGTCATCTTTAGCCTTCTTTAAGTGTAAAGTGTATTCTCTTTACTAGGCTGATGAATCAAAGGCAAAATCTGGGCATCTTGCCTGAAGAAAAAAGTTCACTCCAAGGAGAATAGGCTTGTGGTTACAGGAGTTGTTGAGCTAGGGGACAGGGGGAGGCAAGAGATTGAGGGTGTCTGTCTCTGCTTGTTGTGTTCATTAACCTAGCTATTGGCTGATACTGACAGGCTTGGTTTTGGTTTGGTTTGGTTTTGATTTACTGGTGTCCCATATGTACCCATATCTCTGTTTTAGAAAACCACATCATATTTTGTTCTATTTCTACTAGGCAAAGTGGACTGTTTTGTGTCATACACCAGTGAATTTTTTCTCTGTTTGCATCTTCAAAATAGGAAAAAAAAAAAAGGTGAATTTTGTTCATGTTCTGGGGTAAAGTCAGTGATGGCAATATTTTTTTTTTTTCCCCTGTACTTTTTAATTGCAGCAGCTTGTCTAATGTTATTTTAAATCAAATACACTGTTGAACAAAATATTCTTGAGATTCTCTTCCATTAAGCTACCCTAGAACACTTTCTTGCAAGTCTGTTCAATTTCAAGGCCAAAGGTTTACTTACTTTTGGTGGCTTTTTTTTTTTTTAAATAATTGTTCTCCATGTGTTCCTTATGGACTACAGGGAAATTATCTGCTATAATGCTTTTTAAATCTCTTAGACTTAAATCTTTTACTTGTACAAATATGAGACTGAACTCCAAGACATTGTATTTTAGGAAAGTTGATTAAAACAAATAAGTATTTGCTAGGCTAGGAAAAGAGTTTTCTTTAAAGGAAAAAAAAAAAACAACAAAAAACCACCCCAACAAATAACAAAAGACAGTCCCCCACCTTAATAACTCTTGTTCTTCTCAGCAGATGAAGGAGCATGGATGATTTAGAACTATGTAGGCATCTGGTATTCTGTATTATGTTAAATGCTCCCCAACAACTGTTTGTCGTTTCAAAATAATTAGTCTTGCTGTATATCGATACAGATATGAAGACATTTTTGTCTCCTCATACTGAAACTGACTTCGTGCTGACTGAATGATAACAGAATTGGTTTTCTGTCTAAAAGTGTGCGAATGCTCTGGATGGCTTTTTTTGTTAGTGTTAATAAAAGCTGAGATTTCTTGTACTCCAGGTAAATGAAAGCTCCAGTGAGTTCTGGCAAAATCTGTGTTCCCTCCTGCTTTATCAGATGCCATGGCAGTGGTTAGCGTGGTTGCTAGTGGTTTTAAGAGGTTGATAGGTATCTGTCAGTTTTGTTAAAAAAAAAATAAAGTTTTGTTTTGTTGAAGGACAATAAAGATGCAGCTTAAAAATCTTCTAGTGGCTTAGATTTAGGGGGCAATCTGATAAAGATTCCAAATTGTTTAATCATTAGAGTACCCGTATGAGTCAGATCTCATCAGTACAAATATTAAAAAAACTAGGCTAGGAGAGCTTTTACTTTCTTCAGGGTACATGGTTATGACTCAGTGCCTCTGAGTAGTGCGTAGGATGCGCTAACGACGTTCCCTAGGCTGTATTTTTGTTTACCCAGAGCTCTGTTCTGTTTGTTTCTCTGAAATAGTTTTTTGCATTGTCTTATTTTCTTTAGGTCACCCCAGTGTATGAGGAGTGGACCACAATTGATTGGTACCAGTTTTTCTGCTTATGGGAGAAGCTGCCTGCCTCAATGAAACGTGTGGCTGAGCTGGTGGGGATTGAGGAAGGCTTTCTGGCTCGCTCTGTAAAGGGCAAAATCTTAGCTAAAACAGAGAAACAGCATAGGCAAATGGCCATACACAAAAGGTAGCCACAAATGAGTGTGAATGGGCAAAGACTATACAGGCTCTAACATGTGGAGTGGACAGGCTCTGTGTCTGTTTTCAGGAACTGGCTCTCTTGCTGAGTGAGCTGATAGCTCAGAGAGCCTGGACCTGGTCTGCTCTGGACTGAGAATGCTGCTGGCACAAGATGTCTGTGCTGGTGTTTTTGGAAGCAGTCTTCTCTGTTTCTTTTGTGTGCTATCCTGTAGTACCATTCTGTCCTATGCTATCACAGTGCATTTTGTCATGTACACTGATGTGCCCTGGATGATGATTTTATTTCCATGTGTACTGCTTCCACAGGTTTTTCACCAGTCTTGCCCTTCTGGATTTAATCAGTGAGGTTCCCTTAAAGGATATGACCAAGAAATATGGCTGTAGTCGTGGCCAGCTTCAATCCTTACAGCAATCTGCTGCCACCTATGCAGGTGAGTTGTCTGAGCAAAATACCCTAGAAGTCTTAGGATATCCTTCCAGATATGGGGATAAGATAGCCACAGTGTGGTACTAAAAACAACTAGTCTTGTAAAACCAATGCCAGCTTTATAGCTTAATCTGTGGTTGACCCTGCTTTGAGATGGAACCACAGAGTGTGCTGTGGGAAAGAGGCCAGCTGAGTGGAATCAAGCAGTGCTGTAGTACACTGAGGTTTGTGGAAATCATCTGTGTACTGCACAGGAATGTAGTTTGTTCAATACTAAGTATGGAAATTAAGTACAAGTCCGTTCTGAAGCTTTGCTCTATCAGGAAAGAGTACCTTTCAGCATGGGTAAAGTTTGGGGTGTCTAAGATTTAGCATGGCTTTCTTCTGGTTGCAAAGTTAATTGACCAGAAAGTATAAGTTTATAGTTTTCAAAACAGAGTGAGTAGTTTCTGGGTCATTTATCACCAGATAACAAGAGGTCAGATAGCTGTCGCCTTTAACTTACCTTCCTTAAGAGGGCTGTGTAGAAGAAGTAACAGCCCACCATGTGACTGAGGATTTTTTTTTTTTTTTCCCTATTGCCTGGGTGCTCCATTACTCTTTAAGTGGGTCTTCAATTTTTAAGACAGTTTTAGCACAACTTGCAAAACCCTATGTGTGGGTTGCAGCATGAGTCAAAGCCCCAAAATGAAAAGGTCACACCAACTGATGCAGAGTAGTTTAAATTAATTCTGATAGCATAAATAACTTTTTGTCATAGCAGTTTCATAATTCTCTATTCCCAGTGTTAATAATTTTCAAAAAAAGTAGGAAGTAAAATGAACTGTTAAGAGATATGATAAAAGTTATATCCTATAATCACTGTAAAGATAGTGAGGGATGCGCTGTCTTTCAGTTATTTTCATATTCTGTAGATGCAATCTGTGAGTAAGAAACTGTCTTTTCCCTGCTCTTTTCCTCTACCCACATGCTGACAACTGCAGTTATGACCTTTATTGTAGGCTTTGCTACCTCCTGTGATGCTCTCAGTAACTGAAGTTCTGCAGGCCAAGTTCTGCTCTTATGGACATCAGTGCTGCCTTTCCTCAAAGATCTGTGGCTTCTCTTACTGCCTCTCATCACTGCTTTTTCTGTCTTCTTTTCTTCAGGGTGTTTGTTTCACAGGAATCCTGTTACATGATATGCATGTGCTTTGCACTTTCAAGATTAGTGTCTTTGAAAAAGCAGTGTCATTCAGAATTTCTACCTCACTGATAAATTAGTTAACTCTAGATTAATTAGAGTTCTGTGAGATCAGTTCCTAGTCATAGTTACAATAAACATGAGTTAGTTTCTGTAAGTAATGGGAAGGTGAGAAATGTAAAGTGAATGCCTATTCAGACGAGGGGGGGAAAATAAGTCCAGTTTAGTAGAATGGCAACTGGAGTTAAGACATTGATATAACTTCTGTGTTCCAGGAATGGTAACGATTTTCTGTAATCGGCTGGGCTGGCACAACATGGAGCTGTTGCTCTCTCAGTTCCAGAGCCGCCTCACTTTTGGGGTTCATAGGGAGCTTTGTGACCTGGTAAGAGTGTCTCTGCTGAATGCACAGCGTGCTAGGACACTTTACAATGCTGGCTTTGTCACAGTGGCTGATCTTGCTAGAGCCAGTCCTGATGATGTGACAACTGCTCTGAAGAATTCAGTACCATTCAAAAGGTGAGAAATCAGTAAGTCTGAAAGTCAAGTAAAAGAGTTTGTTTGTAAGGTGAAGGATTACAGGGTGATACCTGTAATAAAGTATGGCAATCTTTTGGGACTTGGTGCCAAACATTAGTTAGAAATAACTTGTAGATCTCTATGACTGATCACAGTCATTCTATGATTATTTTGAAATTAATAGAAGCAGCTTTTATTTGCAGCATAGGTTTGTGAGACCTAAATTTTCTTCTTATTCCTCTTTTCAATGCACTGTTTAGTCCTGGGTGAATTGTTAATACTTTTTGGAGACCTTTTGCTGCCTCTAAAAGGCAGGTCCACCTTGATGATTTATTGCTGTATATCGTTTGAGATTCGCTAGTGATATTCATGTTAGTGCAATGACAAGCTTCCTTGATCAAGTACCTGTTGGACTGTGCCATGGCACTTGTCTGGTTCACGCTTCTCAAGTTTCCTTTCTTTGGAAGTCACTGCATGGAGGAGGATTCATTCAGACCTGAATCTTGCCCTAGCAAGGGGTTGGATCTCGTCTAGGGTATGTGTTTGGACACAGAAACCTGGGAATGCTTCTGTAGTATGCAGCCAGTAATATCTTTCATCGACATCAATTCACATATAGAAAACTGAAATAGTTCTTTCCTATTAAGTGCATTATATTTTGGATATAGTGCTTCTGTGAAGCTAGGAAGCTGTAAAACTAATTGAAATGGAAGTGGTGCAGAATAGTGCCAGCTTCTTGTGTTGTTTGTTATTTTCTGCATGAATGTTTACCTCTGTCTGTTACCTTTCCCATAGTGTTCGTAGGGCTGTGGATGAAGATGAAGAATCAGTAGAGGAGCGTCGGACTGTGCGCAGCATCTGGATGGCTGGAATGAAAGGCTTAACCGAAAGGGAAGCAGCTTCCCTCGTTGTGGAGGAAGCCAGGGGACTTCTCCAGCAGGATTTGGCACTGATGGGAGTGCAGTGGAACCCAGAGTCTTTTCTCGAGACTGATACATCCTCTATGATCAGCAGTGAGTCAGAACTGGAAGACAGACTACATAGATCAAATGGAGAGCAGTCTTCTGAGTCTTTGATGGTGTTAAATAAAAAAGGATGCAGAGTTCAACATTGTAATGGCCTTCATTCTCAGACTGGAAACTTATCAAATATTAAAAAGGGGTATAAAAGACGACTAAGCAGTAGTACAGAAAACAACAGATTTGAGAGTGAAGTCCCAGGCAGGAGACAGGCTGGAGCAGAGGAAGGCAATGATGATACTGTGTGCAGTGCTAGAAAACGGCCAAATATGTGCAGAGGTAATGAAAACGTAGAAGGAATTTCTCTGGTCAAAACCAAGACAGATTCTAGGAGAGCAATTCCGGAAGTTGCTACTGAACAAGGAAAAACGCCAACATTGAGAACAAAGTCTTCAGCCTCTAGATTGATTAAAAGTACAGACATGCATTTAAACCGGACTAGGAACAAGAATACTGCTTCAAAACTGCAGAGGTCACTTCTTGAAGATTCAAATATGCTTAGCATAGACATACAAAAGCTGCCTGCTTTCCACCCCACCATCTCTACAGATAATTTTTTTTCAGACCAAAATAATAAGAAATTTATGGAAAAAGGGTCTGTAACTCATAAAGTCTCAAATTCTATACATATGGGGGAAATTAATCTTGGGAGGAAGGATAAAATAGAAAGATTATTTACAGAACCTACTACTGCTAATGAAGGCATGCCTAAGGGGAGAGCAAGTTTTCAGGCACCTGTTACATTTCAGGGTACTCCAAACATCAATGTGGAGATGCATAATATTGTAGGAAGTCTAGTAATACCTGGTAGTGCTAGGACACAGGGAAATGAAAATTCTGATGATAAGCAGAATAAAATTAATAAAATGCAAACAGCTGCGAGCTGCGCTAAGGCAATGATTGATAAGCAGCAGATGGCTTTAGACACAGATCACAGTAACATAACTGCTCGCCCCTCTGGAAGTGGACACGTCCATCGTTGCAGCAGGATACAGAAACCTGTGCATTTTTGTCTTGGTGAGGATAAATCCTGCCATATTCAGATTAAGAATGATGGCAAAAATGGGAGTGAAAAGCTCAATGGAATATTGTTACAAGATGGAGCTCTGCAGAAAGCCAACAGTCATCCTAAGAATTTTCTGAAGGAGTCTCTAGTAAAATCGAGAGGTGTTTGCAATGCAGATGATGTTCAGAATGGTCCATCCTCTGATCTGTTTTCTGACTTTAGAGACTTTGAAAACAGTTTCCAGTTGGATACTCAAACTGAGATGATAATAAAACAGGAGGGAGCAGCTGGAATCACAGGACAGCAGGGAATACAAGGTTCAGAGCTGTCAGCAATACCATGGCAGAAAATGTCCAAGAAACTAAGCACTTCACGGACTGAGAATGCTACTGATGAAAGGCTGGCTGCAACAGTTAGGAAACTGGGCTTATCGAGTGTTACCACAAAAAATAACATTACAAAAAACACAGCTCAGCACTGCAGTAATAAAGTTTTGGAGTCTGGAGGCCTTAATTTACAGCCTATACTGAAGGAAATAGAATCTGCACCTTGCCTTAAAGAAAGCGATTTCTCAGTGACCGACTCCCAGCTACACAGTTTTCTACAAGATTACCAGAGCCAAAATTCAGTGAAAGGGGAGAGTGTGTCTAAAGACCTTAATAAAACAACCTCCCATTTTGGTAGGGAGCACATTGTACAAGCAGAATGCCACCATGTCCCTGAAACAAGCCTGAATATGAGTGATAGCTTGCTGTTTGATGACAGCTTCAGTAATGTCAGTGACCTTTCAGCTGTTCACATCACGGAAGCTGACAGAAAGGATCCTGTGGAGAAGCAGGAGGCTTTGCTTCCTCCAGATGGTCTTTTGCAGAACCTAAGGCCTATTCAGAATAAATTTGATGTCAGTGGCAATCAGAAAGAGAATGAGGATCCTGCGCAGCGTAACAATGTGTCTCTAGCATTCTCTGATCTAATAGCTGAAGTTTTAGATCATGCAAATTCCCCACCTTTTCTGGAAGATCTTCCTTCTACATTTCATGGTCAGTCAGGATTAAGAAACCCAGTGATCTGTAACAGTGACCCCAGACTGAAGGATTTGGTAGGAGATCAAGGTGGAAAGCTCCAGAGAAGTCAGCAAGCTTTAGACAAGAAAACCCATCCAGTGGTGTGGACTGACCACTCATTTGAACTAAGCCCAGGATTGCAGGATGTATTAGACAAATGGCCTAGTCCTTCAGGCATTGAACCAGTTTCAGTAAACTGTTTGAAAGAAAAGTTAGTTGCTCCTATTGTTAATCAAGAGCCAGATCCAGTTTTTGAATCTGACTGTTGTCAGCCAGAGCCTTTGCCTGCTTGCCAGGATTTAAAAAGCTCTTTCAAGGTTAAAGAAAACAAAACTGAGAACTCAGATCTTCAGAAAACAGACTGCATACCACTTCCACTCAAGGGAAGCAACAGAACATCCTGTCCTCCACCAGATAGTAATAACGGGTTTATTCCTCCAACACCCCCCGAAGAGCTTTGTCCAAAGAGTTCTGTGTCTCCCTCTGTGAAATCTGCAAGGAAGAGACAAGTTGCCTGCATGAATGAAGGGCAGCTGATTCAGCCACAGCAGAATAGCAAGGGCAATGCAGAGCAGCAGGTAAAAACACTCCAGGTCAGTATTGGGAGTGTAGACGCAATTGAGACTGATGAGATAAAAGATGATTCCGTTATAGACCAAGGCTTTTCACTGCAGCTATCTCAGGATGTTTTTCCACTCGTTCCCTTAAGTGCTGAAAGTTTTACTATTATTGATGTAGCAAGCGATAAAGCACTTTTCCAGACTTTTGTTGCAGAATGGAAGGAGAAAAGCAGATTCTCCATCTCAGTGGCATGTGAAAGAACAAAATGTCTCTTGTCTCCCAAATCAACGATTGGTGGCAAATTCAAAAAAGGTCAGTTCCATGTTCCAGTGCATTTTTTTATTTTGTGAACAGCAGAGTGGCATTTTCAACTTAAAGCAGGAGTGGAGAAGGAAAGGGTTTGCAAAAATGGCAGAAAATTACTGATATGAATTGAATATTGTCAGTCTCAGTAAAGCAAAGGAGCTGAGCGTTAGTAGAGGATGAAGAATTGGTGTCAAGCATTTCATTGGTAGGTCTTTGGTGATAGTAATGAAGTGTTAGCAGCTTGTTTGTATGCGAGAGCATCTAAGTATTCTTAATGTTTCATCATGTCTAATTTTGAGATGGATCTGTGTTGTGAAGTTCCTTTATCATGTGTATCTTTCCATGTCATAAACAAGTTTTAGTATATTTTGAAACGAATAATATATTTAACGGTACACTGTACAGATGGTTCAGGGTCTGCACTGAGCGGTGTTACTTGCGGGATTGCCTCTGAAACAAGGTTAAATATTTTCAGGTTTGCAAAAAGTAAATTTGGTTCAATATATGCATGTGTGAAATTCAGATCAGTCTCTGGGTTGTTGCAGTATTGCTTCATTTTTTTTTCACAGAAGTAATCATATGCTGCAGTCTGCTGCTGCTGCTGTATAAACATACTCTTCCCTTAAAATAACAAGATTAAGCAGAGTTAGATTCTTTGCTGTCATATTGCCATAACAACAAAATTTCTTAACTATCGAAATATGTTTTTGACAGAAAAACGTGAAATGTTTTTCAGAGTGGAAGAAAGGAATACATTTCTGTTTCAACTCTTGAAGAGATTGGTAGGAAAGGCCAGAGTTTTGCAGGGATGCTATATGGGTGGTTGTTTCTGTTAAGAGAAAGTTTTGCTATTCTAAGTATGTGGGGGTTTTTTGTGTGTTTTTTTCTCCCTAAAGAAACACAGATTTTTCTTCCTCTAGATAAAAATGAAGGTATATATTAACTTCTAAGAAATTTAGGCTCAACTGTATGTAGTTACATTTTCAGGATCCAAACTCTTCTGTATTTATGGATGCCATTTTATAATTGTAACTTAAAAATTACTCTTTTAGTAAGTTCTCCTCAGTGGATGCAAGTTAAAGATGATGGATTTCCTGTCCAAGGCTGTGAAGGCGTCTTGGTAGTTGGACTGGCAGTATGTTGGGGCGGAAAAGATGCCTATTATATCTCTTTGCAGCGGATACAAGACCAGACTGGTAAGTGAGGGGACAGGCTGTGCTGTGTTACATGACACTGCATTTCAAGAAAGTACCTTCAGCAGATAGGTTCTTGGAAGTGTTTTAAAAAACAGCTGAGTTGTGTGATGGAGTGATTTAGCCATATTATTCAGCAGCCTTAAGTGTTGAACACCCTTGAACATGTTGCTGTGGATACATCTATGCTGCTATATAATAAGGCTAGGTAGTTGGCTCAAGCACTAGACTGCTGAGCATGCATATGGCTAAAATGTTAGCTTACTCCCATGTTCTCTTTAGCTTACTTGCTTTTCTCTTTCAACCTCTTCCAATTTTTTCCTCTCCAGAACAAATGTGCCACTAGAATGCTGAACATAACCCAATCTGTATTATGTGGGCTCGAGACTAGGGTCTGATTCCTGGCTATCCTTTGTTTAGTAGTACAGACACAGCATATTGCTTTTGGGAGCCTTGTCTGGTTTGATAAAATATATAATATCAGTATAGATTTATTGTTATTTGTGCACAGTCCAACTGTAGTTTTTGTGCTTTAGGTGATTGCATTCGGGATTTTTTTCTTGCCTTTCTTGTCACACAGTGGGTAAAACCACATTTTTTGATTCTATTTCCTGCCTTAGAAATCAGCATGAGTTTGGCACCACCACCTTTGGACAAAAACCTATCTGTAACAGAGAGACTGTATCATCTGCAGCTGTACCTGCAGAAGAAGCCTAAGCAGGAGCGCTCACTTGTCATGTATAACTTCATTCAGCACTACAAGACTCTGGTGACGGCTTGTGGCATTTCCTTGGAAGGAAGATTTGAGGACCCAAAGGTTTGCAGAATTAAGAAATTTAGCTTGGATAAAACTAGTAGTTTAAACACAGTGGTGGAAAACAGGAGTACCTTCTGGTACTTTCCTTCTGTTATTTAGATTTGAATATGCACACCTGTCAGGGGGTTTAGTGAAATTTTCTTCCAGTGGGAAATCTGGAACAGTATTTAGAGGACACTTCTTTTGCTATGTGTGTTCATGGTGCCTGCAGGAGAAACAGAGCAGGTTTGGTGATAGGTTAACATATTAAACACCTGATTGCTTGGATGAGGTTATATTTCTCCCCTGTCCCAGTGGACAGGGCTGAACTCTCATTTCGTTGCAATAGGAAGCCTGGAACTGAAATGGCAGAAGTGCTTCTGGTCAGATTATTGATTCTGAGAACAGAAGACTTTGTAAGCCAAAGATTTATCTGCTATGTGTATGGACCACCTTGCAACCACTATTTTCTCAGAACAAAATAAAGTTTACATGTAATTTCAAAAGGTTCAGGTACCACTCGGAACTCAAATGAAAACACAAGAGCGAGCTTATCCTTGTTAGGAAAAGCTCTAGATGCATAGAAATTTCTGGTGTTGATTTTTAAAGCTTGCATCACACACGGGCTGAATAGCATCATGACAATATTAAAGTCTGCAAGTAAGTAGCTAAGGTGTTCAACACAAAGACAGACTTAGCTTTTCATACTGATGCATATTCTCAGGATAAAATCAAAGAGCAATAAAAATAGCACCTTTCTCTGCAATGCTCCATGTATTAAATGGAGTCATACTCATATTTGTTCATTTTAGTGATGCAGTGAACACACACACACACACACACATTCGCCACCACCGCACCCCCCCCGCCCCATATGTACACATTTGGTTTTTACCTTCTGCTTGCATGGCAGAGACAATGCAGAAACCTGTATTTCATCCTGTTTTGAGATAAAAAACTGAAATATAGCTATACGAAAAATTGCTTTGAAGACAGTGGGAGGTATGAGGCTAACTGCAAATAAAATTTGCCTTGCGGAATTCTTGGTGCTAGTGCTGATGTGCAATAAATAGGAGAGCTCAGCTTGACTAATATTCTAGATGAATAACAAGTTTCAATTTTTACAAAGTCAGTTTTCAGATTAAATATGTTTTGATCCTGATTTTCATATTTAATCCCCTTTGTGTTAGGTTTTAATAAATGAAAAAACCTGAGGACGCTTCTAGATATGTTTAGTTGACAGAGGATAAGGTTCTCAAATGTGCAGAATTAACACTGAGTGAAAATGAAGCTTTTTAGTGACTTATGCCATCTTGAAGGTTTTATTTGAAATCATGTAATTTTTCCACAAATTATTACAGTCTGCCTGCCAAATCGAGAAAAATAATCTGCGCTATAACCTTGTGTTAACCCCCAGTTAATATTTACATTGTATTATGACTAAAATGGAAAAAAGGTCTCATAGAGGTCTCCCTTTTTAAGGTTGCATGTTGGCTGCTTGATTCTGGCTCTAAGGAACGTACGCTTCACAACATGGTGACTAACTTTCTCCCCAGTGAGCTACCTCTACTGGAAGGGGTAGGCACTGGCCAAGGGGTGCAGAGCCTGGGGCTTAGTGCCAGCGGAGATCATTCTGGGCGATACAGAGCAGCAGTAGAGTCTGTGCTTATCTTCAATGTCATGAACCAACTCCATGATGAATTACAGAAGGAAAATCTGACAGGTAAAGAGAGCTTCTCCACCTGGGGACAAAGAGGAAGGGTAAAGGTAGCTGGGCTACCACAGACTGAATGATCAGTGGAGAAGAGAGGAGATTTGGAAGTACTTACCTAAGTATATTCTGTGGCAAAATGATCATTTGTTAAAAGAAAAGCGGGAACTTCCCTTGGAAGTACCTCTGTTTTGTCAAAAAAAATTAAATTAAATTTTACATTAAAATGCAATTTTTATATCCGAAATATCCACCAGTTCCATTGGCTGAGGCAATAGTAGAGTCTATTTTAAGTCTCTGAATCAAGCAGATCTCTGCCTCTCAGGGGAGTACCCTTTCCATTCTCAGGGGAATTGTGGGTCTGTCTATGGTTTCTCGTGAACATTTTCAAAAGCTTTTGCATTTCCTTGTCAGAAGCAATTCCTAAAATCGTCAAATATTTTCTAAAGGAGATTTCTTACTCATTGGCCTGCCCATATAGCATTGTGTGCCATGTAGGTGCTATGTCCATAAAGCTTTTGTGATCTCATAGTGAATGATCCAGTATGTTTGCACTAATATTTGCTGAATGCTTGTCTCTGTTTAAAAACAAGTAAACAAAAATCCCCCCAAAAGCACCTACCTATTGGTGGGCTTTTTGATTGTTTCCCCTAAATTATATATGAAGCCTAAGATTAGGGTCCAGTCTCACTGAAGTCTTTTATTGTAAGTTTACCACATCATTTACGATCGTGACAACTAAACCTTAGAACATTTTTGAAAGATGTGGGTGGTGGAATGAAAGTATATCAAGTTAGAAAGCTTTACGTTAAGCATGTCTGCGGTTTATAAAATGTTGATATAGAAAGAGATGTGTATTTCTTAGGAAAATTTGACGGAAGTTGCTATTCTCTTAAATACTTTTGTAATAAAAAGTTCTGGTATGCTTCTTATTATGAAATATGTATTTAAACTAAATCTATATTAAAAGATTTCAATGTGTCAGGACATTCAGGATTTTAAAATCTGAGGATTCCCCAGTTGTGTTTTTATGAATGTGTTGATCTGCAGTTGATCTGGTTTTGGTGTTACAAAAGTTTTTCTTGGGGTTTGTACTTACTACAGATGTATTTTCTAAAGTGGAGATGCCCACCCATTATTGCTTGGCTCTGCTGGAGCTGAATGGCATTGGTTTTAGCACAACGGCATATGAAACCCAGAAACAGGTCATGCAAGCTAAACTGAGTGAGATTGAGGCCAAGGCGTATCAGTTGGCAGGCCACAGCTTCTCCTTGACCAGCCTTGATGACATTGCAGAGGTATGTGAGGGTTAGGGTGGGAGGGGGAGAACTTTCTCAGAAGTTACCTTCAATTGCTTAGACTTAAGAAAAAACCTTCTTGGGCAGTTGTCGTATGAAGACAAGACAAACCGCAAATGGAACTCTCCTCAGAGTTGATTTGTCTTTACACTCATTATGAGCTTGCTGCCTGCAAGGTGCTATGCATCTTCTGCTTGTTACTGATCATTCTGATTTCTGCTAGCTTTAGCAGAAATAAAGAAGGTAGAAGTGGAAATGAGCATGTTGGAAATAAAAAACAAGTGGAAATAAGCATGTTGTTTGTACAGGTCCTTGGCTTCTCATAGTGCATGAGATGATCTGTCGATTAAATGGCTTTTGGAATATTTTGGATGAATGGTGGGGCACTAGAGAAGCTTTTTTGCAATACCAGTATTCTGCACATGAGATGTGATGTGATATCATGTAGTCTGAGTCTAAGAATAGTTGTACTGACTAAGTTGCATTGCTACCCTTGTCCCTGTACAGGCATGAAGAAGGAGGAAAGACTGCTTTAAAAGTTTTGAATCAACTACTGTCTGTTTTTAAGAGCTTGTATAGAACTGATTTTTTTTTTTTAAAGCATAAGAAACAGGTTTCTATGTAAATTATCAATACTTTTATTCCTGAAGAACTTTACTGTATATTTTTTAATGTATGTTACATGGAAGCATAGGAATAGATTGTAACTGCTGTGCATGCTTTTTTCCCATTTATTTCTTTTCTGTATACTACTTTCTTGCTGATGGGCTATACTTTATATGGAAGTAGTCAAAATTTGCAAGCAGCCATCACTAAAGAAGTTCCACAGAAATATTCCTCCTTTGTTGCAAATGCAGTTTTGCTCGGTAACAGTAGTCTGAATTAAAACTCCTGAAATAATGCTCAGCTCCAATTTCACTGTGCTTCATGGAAAAGGGCACATTTTTTTTCTGAAATGCTGTTCTCTGAACTACAGAAGCTTGTTTCTTATGTGGAAATTTTGTTAGGAATCATTTCAAGTTTCTTGTATAGGTTAGTAGAGCTTTACCCTTCTAATTTTGTGTCAGTAAAACTTTTGTGCTACATAAATGTGCAAGAGAAAAACTTCTACTCCCTTCTGCCAGCAGTGAAATGAGACACAATAGCTGCTAAATAGAAAACCTAATATTCTGGCTATTCTATGAAAGGTATTTGGGACCACCTCCTTCTGTGCCATTCATGTTGCTCTGAAGCCTGCTCCCTACTAACTCTTCTTTTTTTCACCAATGTTCTTCCCATTTTTAGTCATCTTAACACCACGTTTTATTACAGTTGACTGTCAGCAGTAACCTCACTTATTGGATGGAGTTAATTACCTTTTCTAAAAACATACCTCTGAACTTAAACTTACAGTGTTGAGAAAATGAGGTTTTATATTGCATTTTGTTGTTAATTAAAATGAGGAGGAATGACTTTGATAGCAGAGATCTTTAATCAGCTTTTTAATTAGCTGAAGCATTCCTACTATCCTTTGGTTGGAACAAGCTGTTTAAGTGCTCAGTTGTCTTTTGTTTTCTCCTGGGAGCAGCATGCAGAAACTGATTTGAAATGCTGGCCTTTTTCAGGTTTTGTTCCTGGAGCTGAAGTTGCCACAAAATGGAGATGTGAAGGTTCAAGGGAACAAGAAAACTCTGGGTTACACCAGAAGAGCAACTGCTAAAGGAAACAGGGTTAGGTTAAGCAAGCAGTTCAGTACAACCAAGGTACAGTAAAGTCTGGTTCTAGTCTGAAAGTGACTGTAAAAATAACTTCCCTTTACTTCACACATCTGCTTGGATACACCGGAGTTAGGTATGCTGACTTAAATGAAAGTAAATTTTAACTATCTGCCTTTTGCTCTTCCAGTTACTACTGGAAATTCAAACTGGGTTCTGCCTTCTCTGTTAGCAAAGTTAACAACTCCTACTCTCCTAAAGCCTGAGTGTAGTGAGGACATGACTATAAATAACAGGCTTCAATAAGAATAAATCAGGTAGAACTTGATTTCCCAAACCATGTGTAAGACCAAAATAGCACAATAATTTTGTAAAACCAATAGTAGAAGAATTTTTCAACATCAGCTTGAAAGATACTGAAATACCATGGTGATTAAATACAATATTTTCCCTGCCTGGTACTACTATATGTGTATTTTGTGCTTCAGAGAAATTGTCTTCAGAACGGCTGATCTGATGGCTTATCAAATTTAGTATATCATAGGCTTGTATGTATGTGAAGGCTATTGACATGCTTGCCAGTTGATAAATAATGTGGAGCTGCATTAATACAAACTGCTGCAGGCTAATGGGTGCTCTTGCCAGACAAGTGATATTAGCAGATATATGTGTCCTTGTTTTCAGGACTCATTAATCTCTCTTGTTTTTCTAGTTTCCCCTTGTTCACTGTAGTCAGTGCTTGGAAGACAAGTATTGATTTCTGAAACTGAAGTGGCAGTGAAGAAGTGAGTGTGGTGGTGGTGGCAGAGCAGGGAGCAAGAAGCAAAGTCAGGATTTCCTCCTTTTGTGATGTGGAGGGATGAGGCTGCAGCTGTCTGCTCCATACAAAAATAAGTTATTTTGAGAAATGTTTGCATGAGACTGTCTTTTGAAATTCTTGTTAGTCCCTTCATATTTCTGATTTAACTGAAAGGATTTGATTGCTAGTGATCAGCTTTGTCTTTCAAGGAGCATGGTCAAGGGCGCATTTTGTGTGTTCCTAGTGTACAGATAGGAGAGAACAGGGAGAAAAATGTACAAGAAAAGAAGACCGTGGAGGAGCATTAACGCTGGGCAAGAGGAGACAACGTAGGGCACCTATGGCAAGTGATGCTTTATTTGGTCATTTCAGGTGATTTATTGGTTGGTGCAGACTAAGAGTGGTGATGAGGATGCAAAAGTCCAAAGAGCAGTGATTGCCTTCTTGTGTGTAATAAAACTGCAGTGTCTCATGGTGCTTTGATTGTCCAGGTGTAGGCAGTATAAGTGGAGGGGATATCCATTTAATTTTAAACCAGCAACACTGGAAGCTCCCTGTGGGTGAAGGAGTTGCTTCTTCTTGCAGAACTGCAAAAACTTTATAAATAAAGCTTTAAAGGCAATTGATTATAGTTGTGCCCTTTTCTCCCCACAAGGATGTTTTGGAGAAATTAAAGACGCTTCACCCATTGCCAGGACTAATACTGGAATGGAGGAGGATCAACAATGCCATTACTAAAGTGGTGTTTCCACTGCAGAGGGAAAAGCGATTGAATTCTGCACTGGGAATGGAAAGGATATATCCAGTGTCACAGACTCACACGACTACAGGTAAAGAAATGCATACAAAATCCTTACTGATTTTTTTTTTTTTTCTTTTTGTGTGTGTGTGTGGGAAGCTTTTCCGTGGGGAAAAGATAGGAGAACAAGCCTGTGCTCTACTTCAACCAAATGAAAATACTGAAATACTTATTTTACTTAAATCTGTCCTAAAAGTCTAGATATGTTAAAATAGCTTTTGTGTTCACCAAGTAGTATTATTCATTTCTTGCACATATTAGCATGTAAATCTCTGGCCCCAGAACAGGTCCTGCATTTGGGAGTTTTTATTAGTGTTACAGAAATGCTGCAGGGGAACCATCTCAAGTCCATTAAACCCAAATTATTTTTTCTTTTCCTCAGTTTTCTCAGTGGTTGTGGCCTGTCCCGCCCTCCTGCCCCTTGTTTTTTTGGAGATGCAGATATGTGTTCAGCAGTATTAAGTTAGAGAGACTCCTTTTGGACCGTTACTTAGTTCTGCCTTATCTTTCTTCTCAGGTCGAATAACCTTTACAGAGCCAAATATCCAGAATGTGCCAAGAGATTTTGAGATTGAAATGCCAACTGTGGTTGAAGAAAGCCCACCCTCCCGAGCTCATGGAAATGTTAATTCTTGTGCTGTTTCTGGGGGCAGGTAGGAGGATCTTGGCAAAGCTTCTGCCTACTCTTCTGATCTTAATGTGGTTGAATTATCAAATTTTTCTGACTTCACCTGTGGCTGATGTCATGTAAGTGTGACTTGTTACTCAGTGTTTCTCTTACAGTTTCAGGAGAATGATTACCTATAAATCAGTGACACATGAAAGACTTAATAATACTAACATCATGTGGCTCCATGTAGCCACTTGCTTTTTGAAATTCTTTATGAAACCCTACAGTGAAATTAACATTATGCTCCCAACTGTTGGATGGAAAGCCTGAGTGTGGAAAGTAACTAAACTGAAGTTAGGATCTGGTTTGACTTTCTAAGAGCTACTCCGAAAGAGGATAGGATATTGTGGAAGAAGCAGAACAAAGTTCGTCTGTTTTATGCTCTGCAGCTCCCTATGTAAGGGAACATGGGTGAACATATTTTTCATTCTTCGTTAATAATTTCATTTGTGATGATGATTCTGCAAAAGCTACCAGGTAACAGAAAAAGATTTCTAAATCTGGTTTCTGTTAACCAAACACCCTATTTTGACAGCATTACACGCCACTGTCTAAACAATTGTGTGGAAGTCTAGTGAAATATCAAGGTGGATCTTTTAGCAGCTAGCTTGTGAGCTTTGGGGCTTCATACTCGCTGGTGACTTTCTGTCCTTTCAGTTTCTCTTTCCATTCAGATTCTTGTCCTACGTGTGTCACCTGAGTGACTTTTATAATCTTTTTTCCATAGCAAGATGTGAGAAATGTGAGAAGTTTCTGGCTCTTCTATCTGTCTTTTCCTACCACCATGTGTCTAACATCCTTGTGCCTTGAGTAGGTCATGGGAAAAGAGCCAAGGAGTAGCAGGATGTTGTCCATCTGTCTTCAGAAGAACCAGGCCTGGACTTGGAGGCAGAAATGTCATTCTGAGAAATAGCTCTGGCAGCGCTCAGGCTTGCAACTGCTTTATAGGGAAGAGGGCATGATCTCTTTTCTGTGCTTTACTGAAACTACTCTTGATCTCAGAGACACCTTTTAATTCTGATAAAGAAATTGCTCAGATCCCTGACCCAAACATCAAGGACTTAAAAAGGCCTTTGAATTCCAGTGAAGAACCAATAGGCTGGCTGGTAGACTGGTGCTGATGGGTGAAGGTTGTATGAATGGTGTCACAGCTGTGCACCATCCAGTGGGTGTATTGATGGATACAATTCTGTCTGCAGCTACAAGTGACTTGGTGGGACAGGAAAGCTAAGCAAGCCCTGAGAAGCTGTAGAGCACCTGGGTGCCACTGTAAACTTCTGGCCTTCTGGAAAATAAAATCAAGTTACTTTGGGGCAATTGTCTCACTTGTTTTCACTGATTCTTTGTGGTAAAAATGATTATGCATCTTTAAGTGTTTTAGAAATTGGTGAAGAACAGTCATTCTTTGTCTCCACAGATGTAGAAAGCGCTCCAGTATTTTACCTAATGGCCTAAAGGTTCAGGCTGAAGACAGATCCGATATAAGAGGAATACCATTTTCTGTTAGCATGAGGCATGCTTTTGTTCCCTTCCCAGGTAAAGCCCAGATCCTGCTCTATATCTAGATCTAATGAAGCGTTAAGAATTGATGACAGTATGTATCTGACTGAGCAGTCTACTTGGAAAACTAAGGCAGTAGTCAGCATTCCCTCAAAATTATTCACAAGACTGTAGAGATTTTCAGTTGAGGAAAGTATTCAAATGTTATAATTCAAATGTTCGCACCTTCATTTCCTCTCGTAAGAAAATCTGGTTTTTAAAGAGGTAGCTTAAGCAGCTCTTAATACACAAATTGCACTCTTATCTAGTGTTCTTTCTATCCAAATGTCAGTTCTCTTGTTGCCTGCCCTGGCTCAGTGCAAGTCTGCTAGTCTGATTTCTGTGCTGATACTTGTCTGTGTGTTTTTGATGGATTCCAGATGTAGGGGGCTAGATGGAAAGCAGGCAGGCCTGGGCATTGGGGAAACAGGTAAGAATTTGTCTGATAGAAATGGCTGTGGAAAACTTTCAGAGCAGAAGGTGCAAGGACAGCTTCAGTCCTCCTTGTTGGAATGTTGTTGGAGTAATTTATGAAATAATGATTTCTGCTAACTTCTTGACTTCAGGTGGCCTAATCTTGGCTGCTGATTACTCTCAGCTTGAACTGAGGATCCTTGCTCATTTGTCTTGCGACTGTCGACTTATTCAAGCTTTGAACGGGGGTACTGATGTCTTTAAGAGCATTGCAGCAGAATGGAAAATGATTGATCCTGAAGCTGTTGGAGATAGGACCAGGCAGCAAGCTAAACAGGTAATTTTTAGGAAGAAAATTCAGCAGCTTTCTGGGCAGGGAGATTCAATGTTCAAAACATCAGGGAGTCCCAATAGTATGGTTTTCTGTTTGGGTTCGGCTGTGATTGTTCAGTAGTTGCATTGTATGTCCTCCCACTCTCAATACATTTCAACTGGAGCTGTCTGGGTTTTGGGGGATGAGGGTGGAGAAAAGCAGCATGAATGGCTCGGACTCAGAGGTAGTCTCTCTTCTTGAATGCTCGCCCTTGTTCCCATACACTTGTCTTCCAGTGAATCACATTTTGTTTTGGCTCTGCTTTCTCCGCATGGCTTACCATATGGTTGCGGTTCTTCACACTGTCCTGGCAGATTTGCTATGGAATCATCTATGGAATAGGAGCAAAATCTTTAGGCGAGCAGATGGGGATTGATGAAAATGAAGCTGCCAATTACATAGAATCCTTCAAATCACGATACACAGGTTTGGATGTGGCTGTTTGGGAACTGGGTGGTGGTGGTGGTTTTTAATCCCTTCTCTCCATGTCTCTTCAAATCCTAAATTTGTCTCAGCCCTCTACTGCTCCTACCTCTTTTGAAAAAGCTTTTAATTTTGAAAAAGTCCAGTGCAGGAACAGAGCAGTTTGACACTCCGTAATGTTTTACTCTACACTCTGGTTTTATTCATCTTTAGGACCTTGGTTGTTTGCTTATTACATTAATTATTTTGTTGTTTTTTAAATTAATTAATAAGCCCTGGGGATTCATTTTAAAGCTATTAACTTTCTGAATAAGAAACACTCTCTTCCTTATTAAAACACACAGCTTCAAATGATATGCAGGACAACTTTAGACCACACTTCTTATAATTTTTAAATATAACCATTTCTCTTCTGCTCTTGTCTTCTGCTTTCACTGAGTTTTAAACTGTTTTACATATAACCCCTACATTTTTATCCAGCTGCTCAGTACAACTCTCCCGTGTTTTGTAAAAAGACATTGTTGCATTTCAAAGAAGCATGTTAATTTTTAGGAAAGCTATAGAGAGAGTAGAGCTGCAATCAGAAAATGAATGGAGGGCAAATGGAATGAGAGACAGCTAGCTCTAATCATAAAACTTGGAAATGTGCTGGAAAATTATGTTCTGAAGATTCAGGGTTTGTTTCTTTAGGAGACAGATGCTGAGAAATGGTGTCCTATTAAGAGTCTGTTTAGTCTCCAGTAATTTCTGGATAGTCTCTCCTTCATGACCATTAGAAATGACTTCTTACTTTTTCCCCTCTCGGTACACGTGTGTACATACAAACTCCACAATGTACCTTATATTGTAACTTCAGTTCTTATGAATTTTCATTTGTATGTATTGCCAGGCTGACGTGCTAAATTACATACCTAATGAATTGACTAATGCTGTCAGTCTTGATCTTGAATAGCTCCTTTTATGTTTTATATTTTGTAAACCGTGGAAAGAAACTGTCTGAAGTTAACTTTTTCCACTTCAGTGCAGTTATTACCTGAACCTGCAGTGAAAGGGACTCTTCCCCGTCTCACCTTTCTTTGACCTAAGTTTCTTTTTAACACTCTCGGTGGATTCACTCCTTCCCTTGCAAAGTACAGGTGGATGAGTTTCTTTCATCCTAGAATCTGAAGTGACACAGCCTGAAGTCAGGCAGCCTGAGGCATCAAGGGCTCTGCCTTCTGCTTTCAATTTACTCCCTTCCTACTACTTGTCTTTCCAGTGCCGGTCCAGGTCCTGACCTCTCCATTATCAATAATACATGTATGATCCTCTGTGCCTGGGCGCTGTGCAGAACAGACTTCCTACCTCCTTGCGCACAGCCAGATTTCCTGACACTATGCACTCTCTTCCACCTCAGAAATCTTAATAGGTTTCCCAGCAGAGCTGCCAATAGGCTGAATGAGTGATCGTGTGCCCTTATCCACTGGCAGGGTCTAGGAAATTTAAAGAATTCCTTTTCTGCTGCTTGGGTGTCCCAGACTGCTATCAGTGACCCCACTGAGAAGCGAACATGGAACATCAGGTGTATTAGGGAAAACTTTCTCTTTCCTTCCACAGGGATTCAGAAATTCTTGAGGGAGACAGTGAGGAGCTGCAGAAGAGATGGGTTTGTGCAGACCATCCTGGGAAGACGGAGATACCTGCCAGCTATCAAGGATCCAAACCCCTACAGTAAAGCTCATGTATGTTGAGTACAGTACTTTTTTTTAAAAATTTGTTTTATTTCTTTTTATTTTTAAAGTATTAGATTTCCTTGCATATCTGTATCTGCGGTTTTACAGGGTCTATGAGCTATCTTGGTCATGACCTTCCACTTCTCACTTAGTTCACTGTTCCCTCAGTTGTTCTCTGAATAACAGAGCTTTTGTCATGGTCTGCTTGACATAAGTCTTCTGTGACCAGCTGTACAGCTGTCATCACTGTGCTAACCTCACTTCAAAACTCCCACGTTGGAACTGGAGTGACTAATTTATTGAAATAAGTGGACATGACTTTAAAAAGCCTCCACACAGTGATGTGCTTAAACTCTTCAGGCTGAGTTGCTCCCACTCAGCATTCTTTGTATGTTATGTGCTGTCAGCACTTGAACAAGAAAGTGTGTTTCAGTCCTATATTTTTGGGTATTTGTTCCTTTTCTTATTTCACCTCAAAGGAAAATTGCTTTAACTTGTTAGATAAATATTTACTCAATACACACCTTTGCACTGGCATTATTTTTTTTCAAGGTCATTTCGGACACATGACTCTACTTCAGTAAGAGTGAATTGACTCCCTGGGAGATGTTGGTGCATTTCTGTGGGGAGGAAGCATTACACTTCTCAGTAGGAAGCTGGATCAGGTTGTGAAGCATTTAAAGTGGAAGGGAAGAAGTGGGGGAATTTGTACTCCAAGTAGTTAAAAGGGAAACAAGGATACTGTCAAAAAACTTTTGAGATGATTTGACTATTTAATCTGAAGGATACTTCAGCATGAAGTGTAGATGCACCTTCTGTTCAACTTTGATTTATTCTTTAAAAGCATATTAAAGATCAGTTAACGAATTATCTTCACTTTCATTTCAGCTTCCTCATAAATTTTTGCACACATTTCAGCTCTAATCAAAGAGAGAAGAATGTTTGAATACAGTTTTCTTGTCTGAGGTTTGGTTTAGTAGAGAAGTTGCTTGTATGGAAAAAAAGTCATTGTGTCATAGTGTGTTTTTGCACAGCTGTAATGCTGTGGCAGTCAGGGTTCAATGCAGCAGACCAGATTATGAATCCATGAAGTCCAGCTTCTTGCCTTTGGTTATCCATTCCTGATGGTTTTGAAGATAGGCAGAAGTGTCTCATGCTACTTGGCTTAACTGTGAGATTTTTCTTCTCTTCATGAAACTGTTACCATGTGTATATGCTTCTCCCTCTTGTGGCTTGTGACTCTAGCGGGTTATTACCCTTGATATTAATTAATTTTAAATTTATGGAAATCCTGCTTTTCTCAGTCACCTGGAGAACTTTGGTGTCTGAAGCTAGTCTATAATGTCTCTCTTTCAGGCAGATATAACCAACTTTTTATTTGGAGGTTTTACTATGCCTGTATTTGGCCATGTATTTATTATTTTTAACGAGGTACATGTGGCATGCTGGGTTTGATTTATCTTTTTGGGTGAGTTTTGAGAACAACTATCTCTGTTTAGGCAGAGCGACAGGCTGTGAATACAACTGTTCAGGGATCTGCTGCAGACATTGTCAAAACAGCCACTGTGAACATTCAGAGACGCCTGGAAGCTTTCTCCTCTGTGACCAAGTCCCACGGACATCTGGAGAGCTCCTTCCAGAGAGATAAGACCGGTACGCTCGCCTCTTCCTTGCACACTAGGGTGAAATTTTCAGTGTTACTAATGTGGATTAAAAAAAAAATTGTCTGGGGAAAAAAAAAAGTTAGGGCCTTTGGGCTAGGAATGGGAGACATTTTATTTCCTGACAGCAGTTAAGTCTGTTTCATGGGCAAAATGTCATAAGGAAAGAGGGATAATGTCTGCTCGACACACAAACTAAAGGAAGTGCTGTGATCAGGTCAGAAACCCCAGCTGCCTCAAAGCGGATCTTGCAAAGGGTGTCAGTGGGAGTTCATATGTGATACAGTCTGTGATGCCACCACAGAATTGTTCAAAAGTAGGAAGGAGAAACTGAGCAGATACTCTGAATTCAAAGGCAGTGAAAAGATAGAGTGGAACAACATCTAGTTCCAAAAATACATTTTTTGGTTAGAATTAAGTCTGGAATTTGTTGACTAGAATTTGATGTACAGAGGCTCCACAAGAGTATATGAAGCACTTATCAGCATAAGTTTCTTTTGGCTGCAGATAGCAAAGCTGTGCTGGGGTACTCATTCCCAGAGGAGTGCTATGAAGACTTTTTTTAGCATAATGTAGACAGTGTTTTGTTCATCAGTCATATATTTTTAGAAAGACAGCTTAAGGGATGGAGTGCTGTCTGTCTTTGATAGTTCATATGCTTCAACCTGAAACAAGAAGCTGTCTTAATATGAAAAGTCTGATTTGTAGGACTGAGAAGGAAAACTAAATCATTAATTGCTAAACCTCTAAAAATAGGTCAGGGAATTTTATTTTAGAGAGACAAGATTCAGAGGTCCACTATGAGTAGGAGGCACGTGTTTGGCAGAACTTCCCACTCCTTCCAGTAGCAGCAGCTACTGACCTTTGGCCAATGTAATTGTAGGAAGGTGAGTTGATGCATTTGTGACAGTTCTTCCTCCTCTGACACCAGCTGTTTCAAGAACTGAAAAGAATTCTCTTTCAGCAAGTTATAAATGCCTGTACCATAGAGATGCATCCTGCGTCATGTGACTTCTTTAATACTGCTGCTTCAGTGTGAGGCTTGTGTGAGGAACCAACGATTCTGTGAAACCCTTCCTGTAGTTGTGAACTGGAGTCCTCCTGTTAGATGACCTGAGAAATAAGTAACTTTCGAGTCTGTGTGTGTGAGGGTGTGTTTGTTTATTTTTTTAAAAAAAGCTTTTACCATGGAACTGTTTGTTCTGTTTTATTTTTGTTAGGCAAGGCCTACCAGGATCCTGGTTTTGTCAGCTGCCCACTTGTTTATTCAAAAATTGCTCTTTTTTCCTTTCCTTTTTTTTAATCATGAGTAGTAACTACAGTTTCAGATAACTGCATTTGGGAAGAGGTTTACTGCCTTTTTAGACTAGCTATTAAAATTATTTTGTAAGAAAAGCAGAATCCTAATTCATTGCCAAACAGAATGTTGTAAACCAACTTCTGATTAAACTTGACATGATTTTGTTTGAAAATTACTTTTAAAACAGATGATTCAGGACATGCAACTGTCTCTTGTTTCTATTCTGATTCATATCTTTAAGGCTGAAATGTTTATATCTAAAATGCTTTTCATCAACATTTTTCCCTCAGTAGCTGTACAAATATTGATAGAATAGCAATGTTTTGTGGCTTTATCTGTAGGCATGGGCTTTTTCATTTTCAAGTTCCTCATGCTTTTTTTCTCAGCGTTAGGAACGTGCAAGGGTTTTTTGACACAAGAAACACGCCTTTGCATAATGGTATCTAATGAACTGTGCTCTTTACCTGTGTAGGAAGGCTAGCAAGGAAGAGAAGCAGAGGGATGTTACATCCCATCAGCGGAGCTTTCTTTATCCTCCAACTCCATGATGAGCTCCTCTATGAAGTTGCTGAGGACGATGTCATCCAGGTACAGCCGTGCAGTTGCTTTTTCAGCTATCTACTGCATTATGATGTTTCAAACAAGCCTTCCTTCTAGGGGCTCAGCTTCTCTTCCCTGGATCCTCTCTTGCTGTGTGCTAAAAGGTGTCTGAAACCAAAGTTGAGTTGGATGAAAAATGATGTTTGTATTCTTGATGCCTGTATTTTCAGACTCAAGCCTTCCCCATTGCCGAAGTTCCTTTTTCCAACGTGTGCTTTGCTGCTTATAACAGCAGTTCGTACAACCTCTCTGCAGGACTTTTTTAGTGAAGTAGTTTAATATTGTTGACAGGTGTAGGGGGAAGTTTTCCCTCGTTTGGAGGTAATTTTGCCTCCCTGTTTACACTTCTGTCTTCTAGTGCCTCACTCAGAACATGTATTGTTACAGCTGTGGTTTGTACTTTTTGTA